AAATCTCTTGAACTCTTAAAGAAATATAGTGCTCACTTTAATTTTTAGTTATACTTTCCTTTTGGGTGTTTAAGGCCACACAGTTGGCCCAAATAAACCGATTTATTTTTACTCTTAAGGTCATTTGAGGATCTATTCCTCAGGGGTCACATGAGCTTTGTTCTTTTACCAGTTCTGCCTATATGAGGATAAGTCAAAGGTCCTGCTCAACCATGGTTGGCTTCGCTTGGAAGCATGGAGGAAATCATTCCTCTGTGTTGACCCACCTCTTTATAGACTGGACACTGGTTCAGGTCCATCTGATGGGGTCTCCTCGGCATTCTTAATCAAGAGGACAGGATACCCACCACCATTATAGGACATTTTGAGAGATGCTCATAGTGCCCTGGAAATAGTTGACCTCAGAGGGCTAGGAGCAAAAAGTGTCCTTTGTGTCCCTCTGACCAAATTATTATAGGCCTCAAAGTATGTCTGTTAAACACCCAAGAAGGTTAGTTCCACCAGTCTGCTATTTTTAATTACTGTGTCATATAGATAAATCTTGGGCAAAAGACCAGTTGTTCTCAGATAAACCTTACCTAGACATATATTTCTTGATCTGCTATGTATAATTTGTCAGTAGGGTGGAGGCGTAATATGGTTCCCTCTGGTTTTTAAAACTAGCTAGGCATTGTTTATCTCTCACATTGTCCCAAAAGATTATTTTTAATTACACGTCATGTGTGTCTCATGTTGGTATGTGCATATGAGTATAGGTGCCTCTCTCAGGCAGAAGAGGGTGAAGGATATCCTGGAGCTGGACTTACAGGAGGTTGTGAGCTGCCAAATATGGTGCTGGAAACCAATCTCTAGTCCTCCAGAGAGCAGGAAGTGTGCTTGAGCCATCTCTAAAAGCCTCCCCACCCCAATATATTCTTAATCAGATTCTGTGTTTCCAGACTCTTTGTGGACTCCACCCTTCAGTTATGACAGCATCATCTAGCCATGTGACCCTAGATTACAGATATTTATTTCAGTCTCTGATGAGATTTGGGAGTTACTTTGGTCTGTCTTAACATTTACAAATCATTGCATAGGGTAACTTTTTATTTTTATATATCTTTGTGGGTTTTTGAGATAATGTAGCTCAGGCTGGCCTTAAAACTCCTAATTCTCCAGCCTCCACTTTCCAAGGGCTAGGATTACAGATGTGGGGCACCACTTGCTATTTTTATAAATCTTTTAAATTTATCTTTTATGTGTATGAATATTTTGCCTGCATGTATTTAAGTGCACCTGTACCTGCAATGTCCAAAGAACCAGAAAAAGTGTCAGAAACTGGAGTTATGGACAGTTGTTAGTCTCCATGTGGTGTAGGGAATGGAATCTGGGTCCTTTGCAAGAGCAGCCAGCGCTCTTAACCATTGAGTCATTTCTCCAGTCCCCCCTAATACCCTTAAAAAAATCTTGTCCCAAGGGATCCTTTTAAAATTTGAGTCAGGGTCTCACTATGTAGACCAGCTGGCCTTGAATTCACAGCCATCCACTTGCTTGTCTCAAAGTAGGATTAAAAATGTGCACCACTACACCTGGCTGTTTTTTATTTTTTTTATTTTCCAGGTTACTAACTTCCAGCTCAGGCAGATACATAACAACTGAATTGTGGTGGTTTTATTTTTTGTTGTCTTTTGAGGTCCGATGGCACACTGTAGCCTAGGATGGCTCTGTACTTGCTGTGTGTGTGGTCCATGCTGGTCTCCAACTCAAAGCCATCCTCCTAACTCAGCTTCCTGAGTGCTGGGATCAAGGCGTCATCTCGCCTTTTTTTTTTTTTTTTTGGCCAGCCTGGTCTACATAGTGAGTTCCAGGACAGCCGAGGCTACAGGGAGACCCTGTCTCAAAAAACAAAAAAAACCCAACAACAACAACAACAACAAAAAAACAACCAGAGTTCGTTATGCAGGTGTGGATCTTCCAGCCCTGAAGGCAACCAAAGGCTGAACACTTTTTTTTTCTATATAAGCTCTCAAAGTTCTTAAGAGATGGACTATTCATCTCACAGAGGTCGCCAGGGTGTTGCAGGGTGGGTCTGCGTGGCCACACCAGCAAGGTCATAATCCTAGGCTCAGAATTTCAAAGTTTCTGCCCTTTCACCTCTGCTCTGAAGCTCTGGTTTGGTATAGGACGTTCTCGGTGAGCAAGCAGCCTAACTTCCACATTCCGGAACCCCCTGGCACCACCAAACTATAATCTCTCCCGGGTCTAGGTCAGGTACTTAAAATAGAACAGGGGGTGGGAGTTAGGGAGGGCAAGCGCGAAGTACAGCCCTGGAGTCCCCCATCTGACCCACATCACTGGCTATGGGCAGGTGAGTTAACACTCCGGCCTGACACAGCTTCCTGTGGTTTGTGCAATCCTCACCTAGGAATGGCACCTCGGGCTTCTCCGGCCTTCTGGCACAGCTCCTGAGCAGAGCCTAGGAGCTCCCTCGGCTTTCCGGGTTCTCCCTTTATCTTTCCCATGTCCTCTACTTCCCAACTCCCCCCGGTCGAGCAACCCACCTCCACCCATCCCGGACACCTCCTCCGGTCTGCCCTGTAACTCCGGAGGCCAGAGGTACGCGGGCGGGGCACTCCAGCGCCTAATCGCCGAGGACCGAGAAGCTGCGAGCTCGGCCCGCCCCTCGCACACGTCACTTCCGGCCCCTCCCTCTCGCTCTCCGCTCAGCCATCCTCCCGCTCGCCGTTAGGGAGGCTCTGCGCCTCAGCCGCTGCCTCCTTCCTCGCTCCCGCCCCCTTGTCCGCGTCTCGGCCGCCGCCGCCGCCGCTGCCGCCGCCGCCGCCGCCCGGGATAGCCCGGGGGTCGCTACCGGGCTGGCCCTGCGCCACAGCCATCGCTTCAGCCTCGCGCTAGAGGCCGGCTCGGGAGGAGACTCGCCGGCCGCGGTTCCACTTAGAGCTTCGGCTCTCGCCTTCTTGACGTCGCCAAGGGTTCTGGAGAAGCGGCCGAGGCCGGGGAACGGGGCTTCGCGGTTCCAACGGTGGGTAAACGGGCGGGGACCCGGTACTGCGCATGCGCGGACCGCCGTGGCCCTTCCCCCTTCCCGGCCGCCAGGCAGCCCCGGGTCCCACCCGCGTCCTCGCGGGGCGCTGCGGGTAGACAGGGGCGCAGCCCTGCAGGTGGGCATGGGGCCGGGAACGCTTCCTTTCTGCTGGAGAGAGAAGAATGGGGCCGTGCCCTGGCTGCCGGGCGGGGTGTGTGTGTGTGGCAGCCTTGGCTTTTTACCCGCTGCAGTGCTCGTGAGCGGGTGTGCACCTTCTCAGCCTCCCTAAAGTAGAAGATGCACCACCCCATGTTCCTCTGCTGGCCTCGCCGGCCCGGCACAGGTTCTGCGCTACCTCAGCTCCCACTTCCTTCAAGCTGGGCAGTGAAGTTGATGCGGAAAAAAAAAAATGGTTTATTCCGGGCTCCACTGCCTCTTTTTAAGGTCACGTGAGATGAGCGATTGCCGACTTCCTTAAATTGCCCGGAGAATATAGCCAAAATTGGGCTGCTGGTGCACTGGGGGCCTCATCTAGACTGCCCTCTGCGAAAGAAAGCCAGGCGTAGAGGGGTCGCTGTGTAGGGCGTTAAGTTTCAAATGGGGCACCTGGTTTCCTAGATAAGAAATAGAATCAGTTGGCACACTTGCCTAGTGAGAATTGTTAAACTCTCGTTATCAGTTAAAAACAAACCGACTTAGAAAAACTGTTGCGTAATTTCATGCGGTTCCCTTTTATGCTTTCTAATCAGCTTGGAAGGAGCCAAACTATAAACGGCAACCGGAACCACAGTGTATGCGGCTATTTAACGTTAAATAACTGCAACTTTAACGCGCATGGAGGAGGAGACATTAAAGAACGGTTTTCAATATTGGGCTTTCTGTAGTTGGGTTAGTGTGAAGTGTCTTCTCACCTTACTGTAACCTTGAAATACTGTTGGCCTGGGTTTTCATAGATACTGTGTACTTGGTAAATATTTTTAATGAACTGGTCATTATTTGTATGTCCTTAAGGTGCCTCCTTTTAGTTTTTTCAGTTTTACCAGTTAGGCAACTGTAACACACTTTAAGTCCTTGCAGTATATAGAAGGGCCTATCTCAGGGGCATAATATTGCTCTTTGGAGAAAGTATTGTGGGTTTTTATTTTTTTTAATTATTCATTTTATTCTATTTTTACATTGTGGGTTTTTAAAATTAAAATGTTTTAGAACAGAAAATGATTGAAATAAATACAGTTACTGGCATTTCCCTAGCAATAAAATGACAACTAATTTTTTTTCTTTTTGAGACAATGTCTCTTGTAGCCCTAACTGGCCTTGAACTCATTATCTAGCTGAGGATGAATGACCTTGAATTCCTGATGCTTCTGCCTCCCTCAAGTGGTGAGATTATGCACTATGCTGATTGGTCTTGACAACTACTTTTATTATCATTTATGAATAACTTCAATCCTCTGTTCTGGCTCCCCCGTTCTAAACTGATTTTATTTTATTTTTGGTCTTTTTGAAACAGGGTCTCCCTGTAGCTCCAGCTGGCCTGGAACTCACTAAGTAGATCAGGCTGGCCTTGAACTCACAGAGATCCACCTGCCTCTGCCTCCCAAGTGCTGGGACTACAGGCATGTGCCACCACCCCTGGCTCTAAACTGATTTTAAAATTGGTGACTGCAGTACTATAAATTGCAATACAAATTACTAAAAATCATTTTTTAAATTAAAATTTTTTAGATGTTGGAGATCAAACCTAAAACACATGCTAGGCAAGTTTTATTCTACTGGTCTATAGTCTAACTCCTTAAATTCTTTACCTGTTTCTGTGTATGTGTGTGTGTGTGGGGGGTATGTAGGCATGGAGAAGGTGTCAGGAATCCTCTGTCACATCACTTTTGCCTTATTCCTTTTAATTAATTAATTAATTAATCTTTTGGTCTTTGAGACAGGGTCCCCCTGTAGCCCCAGCTGACCTAAAATTCACTAAGTAGATCAGGCTGGCCTTGAACTCACAGAGATCTGCCTGCCTCTGCCTCCTGAGTGCTGGGATTATAGGCATGAGCCACTACTCCTTGCCTGCCTTATTCCTTTGAAGCAGTCTCTCCCTGAACCTGGAGCGCCTTCTTTTTTTTTTCTTGCTAGGCTGACAGCCAGCAACTCCTAACAATTCTGTCTCTTACCTCCCACAGCACTACAGTTACAGGTTTGTGACAGGCCACACCCAGCTTACTATGTTGGTATCGAGAAACCTGGTCCTCATGGTTATACAGCAAGCTCTCTTAATATTGAGCCATCTCTCTAGCCCTTTGTTTTCTTTTTGAAGAAATTTTTAGTGGAGCCCATTAATTTTTTTCTGTTCTGATGCTGGGCCATTTTCATGTATGTGCCCTCAAGTCTCTCAGGTCTTTTTGCTTGAGCTGCAAGCACTTTATTGACTGAGCTATCTCCTCAGGCTGTGGCTTTGAACTTCTGATCCTCCTCCTTCCACCTCAGTGTTGGGATTATAAGCATGTGCTATCAGTTTATATGGTATTGGGGACTGAACAGGACTTTGTGCATATTAGGCAAGCATTCTACCAACTAAGTCACATCTTAATGTAGGTGAATTTGGACATGCATGCCACAGTGCATGTGTGAAGGTCATAGGAAACTTTGTGGAGTTGGTTCTTTCCTTCTACCTTTATGTAGGTTCTGGGGACTAAACTAGTTGCTAGGCTTGTGTGGCAAGCAGTTTTACCTGCTTGAGCCATTTCACTGGTCTACCATCAACTTTTCTATGTGATGTTTATCCCAGATCCATGCCCATTTTTGAATTGGGTTACTAGTTTCTTTGTTGTTGAATTGTAGGTGTACTTAGTCTTTTTAAAGTTATTTTCTATGAGTTAGACATTTTACTTGAAAACCTAACATTTCTGGCAATGAAGTACTGAAGATTATTTTAATAGAAACAGCATTCTGTTTTACAGATAAACAAAAAAAAAGTGTTTTGAAACATTGCTAGGAGCATAGGAGGGGATTATTGGTGTAGAAAAAGGAAGTATGGAACAGATATATGAACTGGACCACAATTTGTAGTCTCCAAACTTGAAGGAGTAGGGACTTGTCCGAGAGAGAGTAGGCTAATTTGTGAGTAGCTGATTTTAACTAGAAATAGATTTTAACTAGAAAAAGATTTTGGAATGCACCAACTCATTCACATGATATAGTAAGTAAATAGATATGAATCAACCCTTGTGGCTTCATACATTTCAAGGAAATTTTAAGGAAAAGTTTTAGTGAGAACTCTATCTGTTGCTTAGAAAGGGCATCCATCTAAAAGATTGCCAATATATACTAGTCACAAAGTCCATAACTTGGAACCAGTTTCTTTAGCTCTATGAGCTTTTGCTTTTTTCTCCATATCTCATAGAGGATTTGGTTGGGTAGTGAACTGGAAAGTATTGGAAATGATAACATCAATTCAGATACTTGGATCCTGCTCTTGCTTAGTTTTAGAACTGGGCAAACAAAAATGAATTTGTTTTTGTGTATGTTTTTTACTCAAAGTTCACAATCTAGTGGGGAAGAAGGATATAGTCATTGCTTTGTTTTTTATTTTTTTCATTTTGTGGTGTTGAGGATTGAACCCAGGACCTTATGCATATTAGGTCAGTGTTTTTGTTTATGTACCTGCTTCTCTCTCTCTCTCTCTCTCTCTCTCTCTCTCTCTCTCTCCTTCTCCCTCTCCCTCTCCCTCTCTCCCCCTCCCCCTCTCTCTCCCTCTCTCTCTCCCTCTCTCTCTCCCTCTCTCTGAGTGTGCGCGCTACTGTATGTGTGAGTGTTCGTGTAGAGTCCATAGGACAACGTGGGGTGGTATTCCTTAGGAATCATCCACTTTTTTTTTTTTTACGAGATAGTCTTTAATTGGGGCCTGAGGCTTATAGATTAGGCTAGGCTAGCTGGCCTGCCATTGAGTCCTAGGGATCTGCCTGTCTCTGCCTTCCTGGTACTGGGGTTACAAGTACAAGCCACCATGCCTGACTTTATTATTAATATTATTTTGTTTGTTTTTGAGACAAGGTTTCCCTGTAGCCCCAGCTGGCCTGAAACTCATTATGTAGACCCAGATGCCTTGATTTCACAGAGATCCGCCTGCTTCTTACTCTTGAGTGCTGGGGTTAAAAGCATGAATCACTACATCTGGCTTCACACTTGGCTTTTTATGTGAGTGCTGGAGATGGAACTCAGGTCTTTATGTAGCATGGCGAGCACCTAACCACTGAGGTATCGCTCCAGCTTTCCCTTTTTTCAAAGGAGCTTTTTAATGTCTGTGAAATAAAAGTTTTTTTTGAGACAGGGTTTCTCTGTAGTGCCAGCTGGCCTGGCCTGGAACTTGCTATGTAGACCAGGCTGTCCTCAAAATCATAGAGCTCTGCCTGCCTCTGCCTCCCAAGTGCTGGGACTAAAGGTGTGTGCCACCATGCCCAGCTAAGAGAAAAGTTTTCATTTCAGGGAACAAGTAAGTTGTAGAATTCCTCTAATACTCTTTTCTGATAAAAATAAGTATATTGTAGTTTTATATTGAAGAGCAATAAAAAATAAGCTATCTAGGCATGATTTTACATGCCTTTAGTCCCAGCACTTGGGAGATGGAGGCAAGAAATTTTGAATTTGAGGTCAGTCTAGGCTACATAGTATGGCTCTGGGGTTGAGGGTGGGGGGGACTGGAAAGATGGCTCAGCCGTTTAGAGTGTTTGCTGCTTTTGAAGAGGACTGAGTTTAGTTCCCATATTGGGCGGCTCCTGCAACTCTAGCTCCAGGGGATCCTATGCCTTTTTCTGGCTTTCTTGGTGAACCCTCCCCCCCACATGTGCATGTATACACAAAGAAACGCATATACACATAAATAAAAATAAAATTTAAAAAGATAAGGTTATCTTCTTAAAGCTTAGTCTGGTAGGTTTTGATTGTGATGTACACTGAAGTTGGAGGTCAGAATTCTAGATGACTTGTCTCAAAAGTGAGGTGCTGCCATTTGGAATGGGCAAGATAGCTTATGTATTATGTGCATATAGTATTACAGTTGATATTTCTATTTTTAAACAAAAATAATTTACACTTAAGCAGTTAATACTTTTTTTCAGACACTTTTGGAGATTGTTTACTTAGCAGTACTGGGAATTCTGGGAATTGAACCCAGAGTCTCTTGCATGCTAGATAAGCACTTTTTTTTTTTTTTTTTTTTTTTAAAAAAAAAAAAAAAAAAAAAAAAAAAAAAAAAAAACTTTTTGGCAAGAAATTCCTTCAATCTACATCCTTGGGGACAGGCTGTGACAGCCTAAGGGCTCTGTGTGTCTCTTTGAGACGGGGTCTCTCTCTAGCTCCAACTGGCCTGGAACTTGTTATGTAGACCAAGCTGGCCTTGATCTCACAGAGATCTGCCTGCCTCTGCCTCCCAAGTGCTGGGAATAAGGATATCTGCCACCATGCCCAGCTACTTTCTCTTTGAGACAAGGTCTCAGTATGTAGCCTTGGCTGACCTTGGATTCAGAGAGATTCGTCTTCCTCTGCTTCCTGAGTGCTGGGATTAAAGGCATGTGTCATTACATACAACTTTATTCATCTTTATTTCTCTGTGTGAGTGTATGCACATGCCACACAGCACATGTGGGGAGGTCAGAGGACAACTTTTATGAGTTGTTTCTCTTGTCATGTGAATCCTAGGGATGGAACTCAGGTCCTCAAACTTGCTGGCAAGCACCTTTACCCACTGAACAGTTTCTCCAGCTCCTTAAGTTTCAAGTATTACTCTCCTGTGCATTTATTATGTATAGTGTATGTTAGTATATTATTTACTACTCTCAGAAATGCTTAGACACATGGGGATATATGTTCATAATTTTTTCCCTGACCAAATATTTGGAATGCTGAGCTTTAGGCAATGGAAAACAAATGAGAAATTTTGTGTATAAGAATGATTGGATTTTTTTTTGGTCTTTTTGAGACAGGGTCTCCCTGTAGTCCCAGCTGTCCTGAAACTCACTATGTAGACCAGGCTGGCCTTGAACTCACAGAGATCCGCCTGCCTCTGCCTCCTGAGTGCTGGGATTAAAGGTGTGTGCCACCATGCCTGGCATATTATTTTTATTTATACAAGGAGACCCAGGTATAGGAACATAGGAAATGGAACATAGAAAATATAGGAAAATGGTTTGGGGTAAGAACACTTGATAAGAAAGCAAGAGGACCTAAGTTAAAATCCCCAGCACCTACCTAGGCGTGGTCAATAGTTCCTATAACCTCAGCATTGGGGGTTGGAGACAGCTGGATCCTGGGAGCTCGCGGGTTCGTCACCATAGCTGAAGCAGTGAGGTTGGAGTGCATTGAGAGACCCTGTCTAAGAAAATAAGGTGGAGGATGAGAGAGAAAGACACTGATGGCCTCTGTATGCACATACGTGCTCACACTATACACACACAAAAAAGCTGTGAGAAATTGAAACAGTTTTTTTCTTCTTCTAGATTAACTGCTGAAGTACTGATCGAGTTCTGCGTTTCTTCAATGAGGAACTACAGGCTGATCTTCTGCCATAATCTTAAACAACCATAAATGACAAAAGAATGCTTGCTCATTGAGGGTAGCTGGTACAGAAGCCATTTTTTAAACTTAGGTGTTTAAGTACTCAAAGGTAAGCTTCCAAAAAGATAACTGTACATACTGTGTACATCTACAGAGATTTTTCTTGTTTACCCTTTATAGTTGTCATTTGGTTTTCATTCTTTCTGGTTTTTATATCAGTTATTCTTGTAGCTACTATTTGAATAGCTTAGAGATTTTGTATTAGCTGACACGCAAGTGTATCAAAGAATAGATGTTGCTTACCCAAGACTATGTAAATTTATGGCTTTTTTTTGTTGTTCCTAAATTAATTTCTACTGTTCTATAAATTGGCTAGGTTGTCTGCTAGTCATGTTGTGATACTCACTTTTTTGTGTTTTGTTTTATTTTTGTTTTGGTTACTTTTGAGACAGGGTCTTCCGACAGCTGACTTAGAGCTAACTATGTAGAATAGGCTAGCCTCTATTTTACAGAGACTCACCTGCCTCTATTGGGATTAAAGGCATGGGCCAACACACCTGGCTTTGTGACATTCTTTTATTTATTTTTTTTTATTTTTATTTTATGTGTATGAGTGTATTGTCTACATGTATGTAAATATGCCTGTAGAGGTCAGAAGAGGGCATTGGATCCCCTGGAACTGAAGTTATGGATGGTTTTTAGCCATCATGTGGGTGCTGGGAATCAAACCTTGGTCCTCTGCAAGAGCAGCCAGTACTCTTAACTACTGAGCCATCAGGAGAATGCTGAGCCTGTTGTGACATTCTTAAATCTAGTAGCTAAACTGTATACAGTTGGGCCTTATTTTTTAGAGCTTAATCTTAGTAGATTTACCTTTGATCTGGATGTTAATTTTGTTCATTATCAATATTTGGAAAAGTTTTTCTTTTGTTTAAAGATACCCTCTTTTGTTTTAGAGAATGTTAATTGGGATGATTCTTTGGGTAGGGACTACGTGTTCTCTAATGCTTCAGATACTGAGGACAGTTATCTGAGGCATTGTTTCCTTTTTCTGATCTTGATTTATTTTTATGTGTGTGAGTGTATTACCTGAATGTATGTAAATACCTGTATCATGCAGTGCCCATAGAGAATAATAGAGGAGGGCATCAGATCCCCTGGAACTGGAGTTATGGACAGTTGTTAGCCACCCTGTGGATGCTGGGATTGGACCAGGGTCTTCTGCAAGAACCATCAGTGTTCTTAACCACTGACCCATCCCTTCAACCCCCTTTTTCTGATCTTAATCTTACAAAGTTAAGACAGCTATTTCTTCTGAACTAATCTGCATTTTTTTTCCTCATTAAAAGTTGAGGTTTAATGCCAGGCATGGTGGCACATGCCTTTAATTCCAGCACTCCGGAGGCAGAAGCAGGTGGATCTCTGAGTTCAAGGCCAGCCTGGTCTAGATACCAAGTTCCAGGCCAGCTGGGACTATAGGAAGACCCTGTCTCAAAAAGATGCCCCCCCCCCCAAAAAAAAAGTTGAGGTTTAGAATTGAAAAATTTTCCTTTTAAGAAAAAAAAAAGTGTTAGAAGTTTTTATTGAAAAAAGAGCTGATAATCTTGTTCTTATCAGGCATTGTTTATCAAAAGTTATTGTTAGCTGGGCATGGTGATCTATGGCTGTAATCCCAGTATTTAGGAAGCTGAGGCATGAAGATTTCGAGTTTTAAGATCAATCTGAGTTATATGAGACCAGGTCTCAAAAAAAAGTGGTTATTGTTACTATTTCCTGTTTGGGTATTTGTGAATTGAGAGGTTAAATAAGCTTCATATTGCAGAGTCCAGAGATGGATTTTGGCTTTTTACTAGACACTAGGCATCATTTTTGGAGTAATAGTCTTTTTGGGGCCAAATTTGTTCCTTAAATTGCCTTTGAGATAGTAATGTCACTTTCCAACTTTCAGTTGCTCTGTTTTGGCATTATTGAATATGCAGGCACTATAGGGCATTCAGAACTAATTTTATAGTAGAGAAAATGCTTAGATAATTACGTTGTGCTTTATTTGTAGACTACATCATGGGCCTGATAATCATTTAAATAGATGAGAACACATGCAGGTGTAAAGCAGTTTTTCTTTGATGTATTTGCTCATATTGCCACCTGTTAATCATTATAGTCTCTTTTTCTTTTTGTTTTTTATTTGGCAGAAAAGACAGCTTTGATTTCTGGCTGCAAAAAAGATATGAGGAAGAGCTCCTCCCCTTCCTTGAGTAACTGCAACTCCGTTCTTGCTAACAAAATATTTGGAATTCCACTTGATGAGCTGCAGCAGGGAGGACATCCAGACAATGAGGTTCCATTCATAGTCCGCCACGTTGTGGACTATATTGAGGAACATGGTATACATTTTCTTACTTTGAGGGCTAGCTTTTGTTTTAATAAACAAAACTTACCCCTTTTTGATCTTGGATTAATTTTTTTTTAAGTGTGGATAGAGCAAACAAAGAACAATGTAAACCGTTTTTAAGGTTTTAGTGTATTTTTGCTTAATTCATATACCTAGAAATGACCGTTGCCCAACCTAGAACATTTTTAGTGGGGGTAATAGGAATTTTTTTTAATGGGTATAAAGGGTGGGACAAAAATAGAGTGCTGTGTTGCTAGATAATTAGTTAGATGGTTTTTAGCCAGATCTGGGGAACCAAGAAAGACTTTCCAAAAGTATGAGAATTTTAAGTTGAAAATGAATTCTGTGTAGTCCAGTAGTTGAAGGTCTAGCTTACCTTTTGCCTTGAACTAACGTAGGAGGTCTGGAGCAACAAGGACTGTTTCAAGTCAATGGAAATGCTGAGACAGTGGATTGGCTTCGGCAGAGATACGACAGCGGAGAAGAGGTGGATTTGGTTAAGGAAGCAGATGTTCCCTCAGCTATTAGTCTTCTTAGGTTTTTCCTTCAGGAACTTCCTGAACCTGTTATACCTGGCAGCTTGCATATTCACTTAATGCAGCTTTCTCAAGGTAACATCATTTTTTTCTTATCAGTCATTTATTATTAATTTCAGAGCCCTTTTAGAATCTTAATGTGTGATCAGTAAGTATAGTATTCAGAAATTATTTTCTTTTTTTTTTTTTACATTTTATTTATTTTTATTTTATGTGTAACAAGTGTATTGCCTGCATGTACATGAGTGCATCTGTGTTGTGCAATGCCGTGGAGGTCAGAAGAGGGCTTCAGATTCCCCTGGAACTGGAGTTAAGGACAGTTTGTAGCGGCCATGTTGGTGCTGGGAGTCAAACCCAGGTCCTCTGCAAGAGCAGTTGGTGCTCTTAACCGCTAACCCATCTCTCCAGCACCCAGAAATTATTATTTACTCATTTTCTCCTTCGGGTTGTATGGTATAGTTAAGGGAATGGCAACTTCTTGGATCCTTATAGTATTATTTTTAAATTTAGGTATTTATTTGTGTGTGTGTGTGAGTATATGACATGTGTATGTGTTTATGAGCATGTATGCGTGTGTGCCACACCATGTGTGTGGATGTCAGAGGACACAACCTTTGGTGTTGGTCCTCACCTCTAACTTTTACATGGGTTCTGGGAATCTGAACACTCAGCTCATCAGGCTTATGGCAAGCATTTTTACTGCCAAGCCATCTTAAAAACAATTTGTGTTTGAACATTTATTTTGTGGTGTGTGAGAATGTGTTTGGGTGCACATGCCACAGTATGCATATGGAGGTCAGGTGACAGCTTGCAGGAGGAGTTGGTTCTGTCCTTCCACCATGTGGGTTCTAGGGATTGAACTCAGGTTGTCAGGCTTTGTAGCAAGTACTTTCACCTGCTGCTGAGCTAGCTTATGGACCCAAGATAAAGTTTCAACATTTAATTAATTTTGTTTTATGTATAGGAGTGTTTTGCTTGCATGTATGAAAGTGTACTACATGTGTCCCTCTGCCTATGGAGGCCAGAAAAGGGTATTTGATCTCTGGGACCTGGAGTTACATAAGGTGTGAGCCACAGTTAGATGCTGGGAACCAAACCCCAGACCTCTGTAAGAGCAATAAGTGCTCTTAATTGCTGGGCTCTCGGTCTTTAGGCCCCCCACCCCCATCCCCCAGCTAAAGTTTTAAAGGGGATGTAGAAGAGAAACAGGTATTAGTGAATATATAGTAAAGATAAGATAAATACATGGATATGATACATGGTAAGTGCTACAAAATTGGAAACACTAAGAATAATTTGTCAGGGTCTGGAGAGATGGCTCAGTGGTTAAGAACACTGGTTGTTCTTGTGGAAGACCTGGGTTTGAATCCCAGCACCCACATGGCAGCTAACAACTGTCTGTAACTCCAGTTCCAAGGGATCCAACAGCCTCTTCTGTCCTCCACAGGCATTGGCTAACACGGGTGCACTTATATACAAGCAGGCAATATATGCGTACAGATAAAATAAAAATAAATATATCAAAAAAATTAAAAAAAGATTTATTTTGGCTAGGCATGGTAGTGCAGCCTTTAATCCCAGGACTAGGGAGGCTTCAAACTCAGAGAGCTCTGCCTACTTCTGCCTCCTAAGTGCTGGTATTAAAGGCATGCACCACCACACCCAGCATAAATGGTTTTCTTAATAGGTTCTTACAATTAATTTTCCATCAGTTTACAGGTATGATGATTTAAAAAAGTAATAATTCAGAGCTGTTCCATTCAGTTATGGGTGCCAGGTACTGAACCATTTGAATGAACATTTGCTAATATTACAAAGTATAGAAAAAGTTATTTGGTTGCATTTAAAATCTTTTTAAAAAAAAAGATGTAAGTGCACCCATGTTGTGCAGTGCCCACAGAAATCAGAAGAGGGAGTCAACTTCCTTGGAACTGGGGTTATGGACGGTTGTTAGCTGCCATATGGGTGCTGGGAACCGAATCGAATTTTCTGCAAGAACAGGGAGGGCTTTTAACTACTGAGCCATCTCTTAGCCCCTGCATTTAAAAATCTTAAAACTCCTGATATACACACACGTGTGTGTGTGTGTGTGTGTGTATGTATGTATGTATGTGTTGTGTGGATGTGTTTGGGTGCATATGCATATGTGTATGCATGTATATGGAGGCCAGAGATTGGTCAATATTGGGTGTCTTCATCCGTCACTCTGAATTTAATTTTTTTTTTTTTGATCTTTCTGAGACAGGGTCTCCCTGTAGCCCCAGCTGTCCTGGAACTCACTATGTAGACCAGGCTGCCTCTGCCTCCCGAGTGCTGGGATTAAAGGCTTGCGGCACCACTCCCGGCTTAAGTTTTTTAATTTTATTTTATATTCGTGTTTTGTTGCATGTATATAAGTGTACCACATGTTTGCAGTGCCCATAGAGGCTAGGAAAGGGTGTCAGATTCCTTGGAGCTATGAATCTATGAATGGTTGTTTGCCATCATGTGGATGTTGGGAACCAAACCCAGGACCTCTTGCAAGAGCAGCCAATGCTCTTAACCACTGAAGTCATCTATCCATCCCCTCTCCTTATTTTTTGAGATAGAATCTCTCACTGAACCTAGAACTCAGTAAGCCCAGGGATTCCCCCTCCTCAACCCCGGTCTCTGCCTCCCTGTTGCTGGAATTACAGGAATGTGTCACTGTGCTTGACTTTTTACTTGGGTGTTATGGGTGTTGGGTATTTGAACTCAGGTACTACTACTTGTACAGCAAGAGTTACTAAGCTATCTCCCCAGCCCAATACACTTTTTAGGCTTCTGTTGCCTTGCAGAGATTGCCAGTATCACTACCATAAATAACCTTTTACCGAAAGATTTTTTTTCTTTTTAAAGATTTTATTTTTTATTTTATTTGTATGAGTATATTGCCTGTATGTGTATGTAAGTGTACCACCAATGCCTTTGGAGGCCAGAAGAGGGCATTGGCTCTCCTGAAACCATGTGGGTGCTGGGAATTGAACCAGGGTCCTCTACAAGAACAGCCAGTGCTCTTAACTTGCTGAGTCATTTTTCAAGCCCCCCAAAGCTTTTTTCTGTAAGTTAATTTTAAGAACCTGCAGAAAGGCTGGGCATGGTGGTGCATGCCTTCTGTAAGTTAATTTTAAGAACCTGCAGAAAGGCTGGGCATGGTGGTGCATGCCTTTAATCCCAACACTTGGGAGGCAGAGGCACATGGGTCTCTGTGAGTTCAAGGCCAGCCTGCTCTATGTATTGAGTTCTAGGCCAGCTGGGAATATAGGGAGGAGACCCTGTCTTAAAAAGACCAGAAAAGAACCTGCAGAAAAATGAAAGTAATAAATTGCTTCATTCTGAAGTACCTCTGAGAAATTCTCCTAAATTAGACCATCATCAATTAATGGGGTTCATAGAGGCCTTGTTTCTGTTGGTGAAAGCCTCATTGACATAACAAACACAAGGCCTTGCTTCTGTGATAGAATTTACCTGGGTAAAAAGAAACCATAGTCAAGGGGCTGGAGAGATGGCTCAGCGGTTAAGAACACTGGTTGTTCTTGCAGAAAACTCGGGTTCAAATCCCATCACCCACATGGCAGCTAACAACTGTCCATAACTCCAGGGATCCAACAGCCTCTTCTGACCTCCGCAGGCATTGCATGACATGGGCACACTTACCTACATGTAGGCAATACACACATACACATAAAATAAAAATCAAAAAAAGTCAAGCACAAATAAACTATGCTGAATGTGGTGGTTCATGCCTGTAATCCTAGCACTGAGTCAGGAGGATTACTCAGGTGTTGGAGTCCAGCTGGGGCCACAGAGTAAGACCATGTTTCAAAAACAAAACAAGCAAATGAAGGAACCAATGACAATTTAAAGAAGAAAACCAAATGAGAAACAGACTTTTTAATTTAGTTCTGTCAATGTTACTTATGTTAATTGTTCTTTTCAGAATGTCAAGGGAGATCAAAATTCCCCTTTCATTCCTCATCCTGTTTGTTGATGTAGAAAGTTGTCAGTGATATTATATGCTTATTGAATTGCGTCTCTACTGTTGGCTCATTAGTAGTTTGTGTTAACTGGTAGGTCAGTTATATTTTGACTTCTTGTAGTTGGCACTAGTTTGGAAACACAGGTACAGTTGTGCAAGAGGTAGTAAGATGAGAAAAAAGAAAATTAGAGAATTGGGGCCCATGAGTAATAGATGAGGAAAACATCTCCAAACAGTTGAGAAACTGAAGTTCCTTTTTTCTAGCCTCCCCCTTTCAAACTCTTCCACTTCATAAGTGAAATGCAAAGCCCTAAGGCAGTTGGCCTCTCCAGAGGAAGTGAAGAGGTTTTGAATTGTTACAGTAAAAAAATGATGTTGGTGGAGTAATGGGAACCTGGCAAAATATCTGAGCTTTACTTTTTACTTCATGAAGAAAACCTGTCATTATGTTTTATAGATTATAATAATGAAGATGAATTTGGAAGAAAGTTGAGGTTCCTCTTGCAACAGCTTCCACCTGTTAATTACAGTTTATTAAAGTTTCTGTGTAGGTTTTTAGCTAATGTAGCATCACATCATGAAGAAATTTGGTCTGCAAATTCTTTGGCTGCTGTCTTTGGTCCAGATGTCTTCCAGTAAGTGGTTTCACAGTTTTTAATTTTTTTGAAAAATTGGGTTTGTGAAATAGACTCATCATATTGTCTCCCAGGGATTGTAGGATGCTTGATGATGAACCATTATTTTTTATAGTATATCCGATTAATTCTCACAGCATTGCTGTGAAGAGGGTACAAATTAGGTAAGTTTTACAGATGGGAAAACTGAGGCACAGAATGATGACATAAATTGCTCTGTTTTATAAAGTAGCTCATTGGTTCTTTTGTAATTTTACTTCTAATTAAGAACTCAACTCATTTTAAGCTTTTATTCTTAGCATTTACACAGATGTAGAAGATATGAAAGAGCAAGAAATTGTGAGCAGAATAATGGCAGGACTTTTGGAAAATTACTATGAGTTTTTTGAGAATGAAGAGGAAGATTTTTCATCAAATGATCTGAGTTCAATTACTGAACAGGTGAGTGTACCTTAACATTCTACTATTAGGAGAAGTTTTGTTTCTAAGAATAAACTCTTGCTGGGTGTGGTGCCAAATATCTTTAATCCCAGCATTCAGGAGGCAGAGGCATGTGGATTTTTATGAGAATGAAGCCAGCCTAGTCTACAAATCGAATTCAGGCCAGCTGGAACAATAGGGAAACCTGTCTCAGTTAAGGAAAAAAAAAATAAAGAATATATGCTTGACACAAAGTTATATAGAATTTGCCTGCTAAACTGTAGGTAATTCTCTATTATTATATGTAATCAGTAGGTTATGTATCCACATATCATAGGGTTGGAGTCTATCTGCATTACCTCTACTTTCTGATCTCAATTTGGTACTAAGTAAAAGGCATTTATTTATTTTCAGTGCTGGCAATTACTCTGGGGCTTTGAGTATGCTAATCAAGCATTCTATTACTGAGCTAAACTCCAAGCTAGGAAAAGGTAGAGAATTTTTGTATGTACTTCTCTTAGGTATTTATTTTGTGTACCCCAGGCTAGCCTTGAACTCCTGCTTTAGTCTCTTGAGCATTGGGATTCCAGATATGCCAACATACTTGGCTAGCAGATAATTTAAATTTTGTGACTATAGCAAATTATTCAAATTCATTATTGATTGATTTTTGGGTTGACTTATTTTTGGTTGTTTGAGACAGGGTCTTAACTATAGGGTTTAACTGCCACTTTATTGTTTGAGACAGGGTCTTAACAGGGTCTTAATTGCCACTTGATTGTTTATTTACTTTAATTAGTGAATTAATTTTTGGGGGGACAGGGTCTCCCTGTAGCCCCAGCTCACCTGGAACTCACTATATAGACCAGGCTGGCCTTGAGATGCCTGCCTCTGCCTACTGAGTGTTAAGATTAAAGGCATGCGCCACCACACCTGGCTGCTACTTTATTTTTCATGGCTAATAATATGCTTGTTAAAGAAATAGTAAGAGGGCTGGAGAGATGGCTTAGTGGTTAAGAACACTGGCTGTTCTTGTAGACGAGCCGGGTTTGAATCCCAGCACCCACATGGCAGCTAACAACTGTCCATAACTCCGGGTCCAGGGGATCCGACAGCCTCTTCTGTCCTCTGTGGGCATTGCACAACATGGGTGTACTTATCTACATGCAGGCAATACACGCGTACACACATAAAATAAAAATAATAAAATATTTTAAAAAGAGAAATAGTAAAAAGGGCTGGAGAGATGGCTCAGCAGTTAAGAATGTTGACTGTTCTTGGAGAAGACCAGGGTTTGAATTCTAGCACCCACATGGCAGTTAACAACTGTCTGTAACTCCAGTTCCAGGGGATCCGGCACCCTCTTCAGTCTTCCTTGGGCATTGCATGACATGGATGCACTTACCATAACACTCATACACATAAAATAAAAATAAATTAAAAAAAAATTTAAGAATAGTAAAAAACACTGGGGAGGCAGAGGCAGAAGGATCTCTGTGAGTTCAAGGCCAGCCTAGTCTACATAGTGAGTTCCAAGTCAGCTGCGGCTACAGGGAGACCTTGTCTTGAAAAGACAAAAAAAAAAATAAAAAATAGTAAAATGTGTTGTTCTAATACCCCCTTTTCCCTGTTCTCCCTCTCATTGATTTCTTTAGTGTTTTTCTAGAGTTTTTAAGTTGAAATAGAAGTAAATTTTTTTTAGACTCCCTCCTTCCCTCCCTCCCTTCTTCCTTTTCTTCCACAGAGTCTGAAATATGTGGCCCTGGCTAGCCTGGAACTCACTAGTGCCAGGATTATGTAGACCAGGCTGGCCTCAAATTCAAAGATCCATCTGCCTCTGCCTCTTTGAGGCTGAGGCTCATTATATAGCCTAAATTGGTCTTGAACTCTTAATTCTCTTACTTCAGCCTCCCAGTGCTGGAATTATAGACATGCACCAACACACCTGTTTTTTTTTTTCAGTTTTTAAACAGGAAATTAGCATACATAGACAATGATCTGTACCTTGTTTTAAATCAGTTGATAATATATATATTTTAGAGCTTTTTCTTGTTAGGATATAGAGATCATGTTCTTTCATGTTATATCTGTAGTTTCTATTATATGGATAGAACCTTAACAATGTATATGATTTATAGCACCATCTCTACTTGAAAAAGTGATAATATTTTTCTACTTCAGAGCAGTACTAGTCTGTGTATTTCTGGTGTAATAAGTAGCTCTACCTATCATTGTTATTTATACTATACAGGTTTTGATAATAAGTTATTTGGCCATACTGTTTATTAATGGACATTTTGTAAACATGTATGGGTTTTTGTTTGTTTTTGAAATAGGGTCCTCACGTATCCTAGACTGGTTTCAAACTTGCTGTGTGGTCAAGAATGACTTTGAAGTCATGAGTTGGGATTATAGGTGTGCACCACCATGTCCAGTTTTATGTGGTGCTGTATGAAACTCAAGGCTTCATGCATGCTAGGCAGTGACTCCAACTGAGCTACATCTCTAACCCTAGTTATTCACTTTTTTTGATGTATTTATTTTTATTTTATGTGTATGAGTATTACACCCGCATGTATTTAAGTGCACTGTGTCATGCACTACCCACAGAGGCCAGAAGAGGGCGTCAGATATTCTGGAACTGGCACTATGGATGATTGTTAGCTGCCATGTAGGTGCTGGGATTTGAACCAGGGTCATCTTAACCACTGAGCCATCTCTAGCTCCTAGTTACACACCTTTTAATGTTTGGGGTTTGTGCCTTAAGTTCTTTTTAGTTTTTTGAGGCAGGGTCTCATGTCGCTCAAACTGGTCTTCAGTTTGCTCTGTATCTGAGATTGGCCTTGAACCCCTGACATCCTATGTCAACCTCCTGAGTGCTAGGATTACTGGTATACACCACCATACCTGGCTCTAGATGATTCTTGGTGCTGGGATTTTAGGAATGTACCACCATGTCTGGGTGATGCTTCGTTTGTTTGTGGGTTTTTTGGCCTTTTTGAGATAGGGTCTGCCTGTAGCCCCAGCTGGCCTGGAACTCGCTATGTAGACCAGGCTGGCCTTGAACTCACAGAGATCCACGTGCCTCTGCCTCCCAAGTAAGTGCTAGGACTAAAGGCATGTGCCATCATGCCTGGCTCTTGGTTGATACTTCTTAAACGTGAATGTTTTTTGATATTTTAAATCTATTAAATTCTATGTCATTTTTTCTCCTTTCAGTTATGTTTTAGTCTAATAGCTCGAGTTTCTTTAGTAAAATAAATGACTATTCAAAATAAAATAGCATTATGTATGTTTGTGTCATTGATTTTCTACATTTCTAAGATGTTTGATTTGCAAGAATGATGACAACTTGATTTAATGTTTATAGACTCCTAAAATTTGTAGATTATGCCTTTGTTATTTTTTATATTGTGATAGAGTTTTCTGGTATATTATCCTATAATTTCCTTTTGTATGTAAAACTGTATTTTTGTCTGATGTGTATTACATCAGTATTTTTGTATTATTTTAAACACTAGAAAATATTTAAATATGTCTTGCTTTGCATTAGATAGAATGATACTTAAGCAAGACTTAAGAAGGAATGTTGAATTCTGTAGATTTTCCCATAGATACAAAAAAAGGATGTTAGAAGGTTAAGCGGAATATGGTCAGGAAATGAGGTAGAGGGGGGAGGTTGAGGCATTTAATTATTAGTTGCTAATTGCTAGGATCTTACTGGGATCTTACCATTTAAAAAATTTTTTTTTTTTTTCTGTCTTTTTTGAGACAGGGTCTCCTTGTAGCCCCAGCTGTCCTAGAACTCACTATGTAGACCAGGCTGGCCTCGAACTCACAAAGATTGGCCTTCCTCCACCTCCCAAGTGCTGGGATTAAAAGTGTGCACCACCATGCCCGGCAAAAATTATTTTTTTTGAGACAGGGTCTCCTTATAGCAGTAGAAGGCACTATTATGTAGACCAGGCTGGCCTTGATCTCACAGAGATCTGCTTGCCTCTGCCTCCTGAGTGCTGGGATTTAAGAAAGATATGCACCATCATGCCCAACTAAAATAAACTTTTGAGTAAAGTGGGTTACAGGTAACAAAAGTACAGACTTCTGAAGCTTGTTTTTCTTAAATCAGGTTTGATAACCTTCAATTTCATTTTTAAGGCAGAGTTGATGAGGTATTTGAGTGAAAGTAAAACATCCTCCAACTCAACAGAGTTTGTGTTTAAGTTTCTCTACCGTAAGTGCTGTCCATTGTCTCATCCACATATTCAGAGATATAGGCAAGTATGGCCTATCAGGCAGTGCTTTGCTTTTTCTCTTAATTTTGGTAATTGAAAGAAGCAAAGTTTATACAGCACTGTCATTTATACAGGTTTTGATAAGTTATATAGCCATACTGTTTATTAATAGACATTTTGTAAACATGTATGGGTTTTTGTTTGTTTGTTTTTGACATAGGGTCCTCATGTAGCCCACACTGGCTTCAAACTTGCTGTGTAGTCAAGAATGACCTTGAAGTCATGCTCTTGAGATTTTAGGTGTGCACCACCATGTCCAGTTTTGGAGTTTCATCTCATTAACTCAAGTATTTAGGTGTTAAACCCTTCTGGAGGTAGTAGGTAGTTTTAATAATTGTATGGGTTGAAACAATGAACAGGCAATGTTTAAGAAATGTCTTGACGAAATCAGGTAGACTTTGTATGGGATCTTTAACTGATTGAAAATCCAGTAGGGTGGTTTGAAGATGGAGGTGATAATTATGTTTCTTTATACATTTGAGAAGGCAGGTAGCAGCGTTCTCCACAAGCTGGAGTCTGGAGAGCAGGCATTTCACGAGGTCCTAGAGAAGGGAATTACAGCAGTCAAAGAAAGAAGAGATGTAAGTATGGATGAAGGTTTTCTGTAAGTGAAGCTGAGGCAGCTACATAAGTAGGGCAAGCTCAATAACTTAGAGACTAGAGTTGTTGAGCAGAAGATCAGGTTGACAAAGGATTTTTAAGAAAATATTTATTTTTTGTATGTTATGAGTGTTTGCCTCCATGTATGTTAGTGCACCATGTCGTGTAGAGCCTGTGGAGGTCAGAAGAAGGCATTGGATCCCCTGGAACTGGAGTTATGGAGAGTTGTTAACTACTATGTGGGTGCTGGGAATTGAACCTGGGTTGTCTGCAAGAGCAGGCAGTGCTCTTAACCACTGAACCATCTCTCCAGCCCCGACAAAGGAAGGATTGAGAACTTTAAAAGAACAGTGTGGAATAACAGAGCATTTTATTGTCTTCTTTACTGTGCTACTCTTTCTCTTTAATAATTGAGTCCATTATTGGAGGATGTTACATTGGTTGGACTGAGAGAAGAAAAACACATAGATGAAAATACTAGAGATTGTCAATTATGTAGTTTATTGATTTGAATGTGACACATTCAGTATAAAGTAGTAAAGGCATTCATAGTTCCTAAAAGCTACTGACTATAGAAACAAAATTATTTTTAGTTTTTTTTTTTAATTAATATTTTTAAAAAAATTTTGTTTTTGTGAAATTTTGTATGTGGTGTAGGTATAAGCATGTGTAGGCTAGAGGGCTGTGGTGGGTGTCATCCACTCTTGCTGTCTACCTTAACTTTTGAGACAGAGTCTCACCTGGCCCCGTGCTCAACAGTTGGCTAGGCTGGCTAGCCAGCCTGCTCTGGAAATCTTCCTGTTACCCCAGTGCTAGGGTTACAGATGTACACAACCGTGTCTGGTTTTTATGTAGGTTCTGGGAATCCAAATTGAGATCCTCATGCTTGTGTGGCAGGCACTTTACCAACTGAGCCTTCTCCCATTTCCTCAAATTTTTATTTTAGTGTGTATATGCATGTGGTGTTCATGTGTGTTTGTGGGCATGCATATATGTGCAGATATATGTGCAGATACACGTGTGTGCATTTGCTTGTGGAGGCCAGAAGTTGGCATTGGGTGTCTTCCTTGATCATTGACTGCCTTATTTATTGAGGCATAGTTTCTCATTTATACCCACTATACAGGTCATTAATTTGGGCTAAGTATTTATTCTGCTTAAATAAAAATTTAAGGGGCTGGAAAGATGGCTCAGTGGGTTGAGCACTGGCTGCTCTTATAGAGGACCTGGGTTTGATTCCCAGGACCCACATGATGGCTAACAACCATCTGTAACTCCAGTTGCAGGGGATGTGATGTCCTAAAGACATCCTCTTCCAACCTCTGTGGGAATTGCATGACACAGGTGCACATACACACATTCAGGCAATACACTCATACACATAAAAATAATAAATATTTAAAAAATTAAAAATTATTATTGTGTATATGTGCATGACATGGTAGACACAGATGCCATGATATGTGGGTAGAAATTGGTTCTCTCCTTTCACCTTTATATAGGTGAAAGGGCTTGAACTCAGGTTTCCAGGCTTGCATGGTAAGAGCCTTTCCTTGCTGAGTCATCTTGCCAGCCCTATTTTCAGTTTAGCAGATCATTTTAGTTGCGCTTGTTGGTTTAGGCCTGTAATCCCAGCTACTTGCTAGGCTAAGGCAGAAGGATCAAAAACTCAAAGGCCTGCGTGAACTGCTGAGTAAGTTCTAGTGCAGCCTGGACAACTTGCTCAAACCCTGGCTCATAAAAAAATATTAAAAAAAAAAAAACATCTTAAAAAGTTTCAGAGCTGGGCATGGTCCTGCTGGCCTTTAATCCCAAAACTCCAGAGGCAAGAAGGCGGCGAATCTCTGAGTTTAAGGTCAGCCTGGTCTACAAATTGAATTCCGGGCCAGCTGGGGCTACAGGGAGACCCTGTCTGCAAAGAAAAAAATTTTGGTATTCCACCAGAAATCTTTTATTAATTGAGAGGCACAATACTCATTTATTTTTTATTTTTTAAAAAATTTCATAAACTTTAGTGTGTGGGTGCGTGAATGCATGTATTATATGGCATACCTGTCAAGGTCAGAGGACAACATTGGGGAATCATTGTTCTACATATGATTTCAAGGATCCAAGTGCTTTTACCTGCTGAGCCATCTCACAGGCTCAATATTTTCCACTTTATGCTTATAAAAACTGTGTGTGTTGTGTGTTTGTGTTAATGGTATTAGGATTGAAGCCTGGCACTCACTATGTAGACCAGTCTGGATTTACAGAGCTCCACCTGCCTCCGCCTCCAGAGTGCTGGGATTAAAGGCATGTGCCACCACGCCTGTCTGATAGATCAATTTTTAAAGTTGATCAAATTGAAAATGATTCTTCTTTCCCATCTATATATTTACTTACTTAGCAGTAACTACAAAAAAACAAAAAGCTACCAAGTCAGGCAACACACACACACACACACACACACACACACACACAGGAAAAAAAATTGTCTGTCATGTGCCTGGTGTGGCGGCGCATGCCTTTAATCCTAGCACGCAGGCAGCAGAGGCAGTTGGATCTCTGTGAGATCAAGGCCAGTCTGGTCTACATAGTTCCAGGCTAGCTGTGGCTACAGGGAGACCTTATCTCAAAAAAACAACAAAAAATTGATGCATCATTTGGCATTTTCCCATCTGTGTATAAATTTTAAGTTAGAGAATAATCACTTAGGCCAATGATTTTCAGTGTTTGTGGTTTTTTTTGTTTTGTTTTGTTTTTTTCTTTTTGAGACAGGGTCTCCCTGTAGCCCCAGCTGGCCTAGAATGCACTGTATGGATCAGACTGGCCTTGGACTCACAGAGATCTACCTGCCTCTGCCTCTGGGATCAAAGGCATGCACCACCATGCCTGACTTTTTTTTTTTTTAAACCATTTATTTTGTCTGTGTGTGGAGGTCAGAGCACAATGGGTAAAAGTCAGTTGTCAAGGTCATTTGGTCAAGTTTGGCAGCAAGTGCCTTTACCTGATGAGCTATCTTGCCAGCCCACTCTTTTCAGTTTTTTACATCACTGTTTTTTATGCTAGATGAGGGATTACATTTACAATTATACATATTAAACGATCTGCCATACATCTTTGCAAATTGAAGTTACTGACTTTTTGTGTGTGATACTCTGGATGAGCCTAGGGCTTTGTGTATACCAGGCAAGCATTCTACATCTCTGCATTATTGTTAATTATGAATTTTCATGTGACTAATGACTTTGATACACCAGTTATTGTTGAAAGCGCCCACTTGTAGTTTGGGTAGTACGCTTTTTATTCATTACAAAAGAATGTTGCTACTTGTAGGAACTAGCATCTATGCTATATAAGAATGGGAATAATTCTTTTTTTAATATTATTTTTTATTTTATTTGTATGAGTGTATTGCCTGCATGTATGTGAGTGCACCGTGTTGTGCCATGCCGCGGAGGCCAGAAGAAGGCTTCGAATTCCCCTGGAACTGGAGTTAAGGACGGTTCGTAGCCACCATGTGGGTGCTAGGAATCGACCCCAGGTCCTCTGCAAGAGCAGTCAGTGCTATTAACCGCTGAGCCATCTCTCCAGCCCCAAGAATGGGAATAATTCCTACACTAATGATAGCTATAGTTACTACTGAAGAGTCTACTTAGTTATTTGATCCTTTGAACCAGCTCTGTGATTTATTTATTCTTTTTAAGACAGGGTCTCACTGTGTAGCTCTGGCTGGCCTGGAACTGTATCATAGATTAGGCTGGCCCCAACTCATTGAGATCTGCCTGTCTCTGTCTTTTGTGGTCTGGGATTAAAGATGTATGTGTTCCACCATGCTCCATAAAAAGTCCTTTTTGATTTTTTGTTTGTTTTGAGAAAGGGTCCCCTTGTAGCCCCAGCTGGCCTGGAACTAGCTATGTAGACCAGGCTGGCCTCAATCTCACAGAGATCAGCCTGCCTCTTGGTATTAAATGTGTGTGCCACCATGCCTGACTCTTTGTTTTGCGTCTTAGGTAGTCCAGTCAGGCCTCAAACGTACTGCATAACTGAGACTTGCTATCACCACCTCCTGGATACTAGGATTACAGGCATTAGATACCAGGCCCAGCCTACTATATTACATTTTCAACTAGATAACTCATACTTACTGATGCAGTTTGAATTAATATTACACTGTATTTTTCTTTTGGTTGCAGTTTTACTTTGTGACAAATATAGCAACTATATTTGTATGTCTATCAGGGAAAACAGCATTGCATGTAGTAGTAAATAAGTTTATTATAGGTATTTCCATTGCATTTGGCTAGAATGACAAAAAATGTACTTTTTGGTGTTGTAGATGGAATGCTAGGGCATTGGTGCATTCTGAGCACATGTGCTCTACTACTGAGGTATATTCTCAGCTCTCCAGTGTGTGTGTGTTTGGTCATTTTGAGACAGAGTCTCCCTGTAGCTCCAGCTGGCCTGGAACTCACAGAGATTCGCCTGCCTCCATCTCTCTCGAGTGCTGGGATTAAAGGCGGGCACAACCACGCCCGACTTTCAACATATATTTTTATTGCTCTGTGTTTGTTTAATCTGAATTAGAAGTTAACTGACATTTTCTGAAATGTAGGAAATTAGTTAACACTTAAAGCAACACTTTTGTTGTGGGTTTTTTTTTGTTTTTTTTTTTTGGTCTTTTTGAGACAGGGTCTCCCTGTAGCCTCAGCTGTCCTGGAACTCACTATGTAGACCAGCCTGGCCTTGAACCCACAGAGATCCGCCTGCCTCTGCCTCCCGAGTACTGGGATTAAAGGCGTGCGCTACCATGCCTGGCATGTTGTTTGTTTTAAAAAAAAAATATTTTATTTTATGTATATGAGTGTTTGCCTGCATGTATGTGCAGTGTACCTGTGTCATTCAAAGCCCATGGAGGCCAGAAGAAGGGGTTGGATCTCCTGGAACTGGAGTTATGGATGGTTGTTAGCTGCCATGTGGGTTTTAGGAATCGAACCTGGGTCCTCTAGAAGAGCAGCCAGTGCTCTTAACCGCTGTGCCAACTCTCCAGCCCCACACTTTTGTTGTTTTAAGACAGGGTCTGATTATTTTTACTGTGTATCTCTGGCTGATTTGAAACTCATGTAGAGCAGGTACTGCTTGCCCCTGTCTCCTGAGTACTGAAGTTAAAGGCAAGTACCACCATGGCTAGCCTAAAGCAACACCTTGGTACTATTCTCCCCCCCCCCTTTTTTTTTTTTTTTGGTCTTTTTGAAACAATGTCTCCCTGTAGCCCCAGCTGGCCTGGAACTTGCTATATAGACCAGACTGGTCTTGAATTTACAGAGCTCCTCTTGTCTCTGCTTTGGTGCTGGGATTAAAGGCATGTTCTCTTTCCCCCTTTTTAAAAGACAAGGTCTCATGTGTCTCAGGTTGATCTTTAACTTGCTTTGTAGGATAACCGTGAATACTTATTCTGCCTCTGCCTCTCAAATACTGGGTTCATAGCTGTGTGCCACCAAACCTGGCTTTTTGTGCCTTTCTTCATTTACTCAATATTAAAATGACTTATTTAATGTACCTAGAAACAGGAAGAATGAATTCGAAGTCTTTTCATAACTAATATATTTATAAAACTGGTTAGAAGATGAAGCTTTTTTAAAAATATTTTTGAGACAAGGTTTTGCTGTGAAGTACTGATAGGCCTAAAATTTGGCAGCACTCTTCCTGCTTCTACCTCCCTAGTGCTGGGATTATAGGCAGGCATCATAATGCTTACCAAACAAAGCATTCTGGGGGCTTGGACAGATGGCTCAGTCTTTAAGAACACTGGATGTTCTTCTAGAGAACCTGGGTTCAATTCTCAGCACATGGCACCTACAGCCATCTAAAACTCCAGTTTCAGAGGATAAGATACCCTCTTCTAGCCTCTGCAAGCATTACACACACGTATGCAAAACATTCATACACATTAAAAAAATAAGATACTAAAAAAGCAAAGCACTCTTACTGTTAATTCAGTTGCAAGTTTTTTATAGCTTATAATAGTTTATAACCTTATATTCTTATTACTATTCTAATGTTCAGCATCAAAATGCTGTTTAACATAAGCAAGATAAAAATAAAAAGTTATATTTGTCTTGTTTGTAATCTTGTTATTTTCCATTTCTGTTTATTTAGCTTTTTAATACATAGGGCCTTGTAAGGTCAATGCTCTACCACTGAGTTATACCCTACAGTCCTATAATTTTATTTTGATATAAAAAAATTGGCACTTTGTAGAACAAATTGGTATTAGGAAGTGAAGGTTAAGTATTTATGTTTAATCTTAGAGTAGTATGTCTTAGATATGTCTTTTAACAGCTTTATTAAATTTTAATTCTGAATTTCCTTTTATTTATGTAGGTTAATGAACTTTCTGAGGAAGAAGAGGAAGATGAAAAGCTGGAACACATAGAAGAACTTCCAGAAGAGGGTGCAGAAAAATCAGATGACATGCCAGCGGTGGTGCAGCTGAGGACTGAAAATGTCCTGGAACCAAATAGTGTTACATCAACAAGGTAAATATTTCAGTTGAATGAATTTTGGCTTTTGACTTTTTTGTTCTCAATGTTGACTCTCTCAAGCACTGTACATAAATTGGAAGTGTAGCAGAATTCCTCACAGTGGAAGCCATATTTCCCACTTGAGCCTTTGCAATTCTTTCTTGTTAAATATATATCCTATAGATATTTTCATAGTTCTCTCATTTAACTTTTGTGTAATGTTAGCTTTTCAGTGATGCCTCCTCATCCTTTATTCTTGATTTTTGTCTATACCTTTCTGTTTTGTTTATGTCATTTATGACAATGTAACTGTTATATGTTGGATCTTAAATGTCCCTCAGAGTTCTTTGTTAAAGTTGTGTCCTCTGGAGTATTGCTATTGGGAAATGGTTGAACCTGTAAGAGGTTGAACCCAATGGTTTTCTTTTAGATCATTAATGGTCCCCAAAGGATTTTGGGATCCCTCTGCCTTCTTTCTCTTGTCTCTTGGGCTTGGGGTAAATGGTCTTGCTCACTTTTACTCTGATATCCTGCCATACCACAGGGCCAAAAGCAACATAGCCAATCAATCATGGTTTGAAATTTTCAAAACTATGAGCCAAAGTAAAATTCTCTTTTTAAGTTGATTATCTCCAGTATTTTGTTACAGTGATAGAAAGTTGACTAACATGTTAATTGTTGTTGTCTTCCAGCACTAGAATACAAAATACATGACAAAGGTATACATATGTGCAGGTGTACTCACCTTTGCATGGGGAAGCTGGAGTAGATACTGACTGTCTCTTATCACTTTTCACCTTAGTTTTTGAGACAAGGGTTCTCATTGAACCTAGAACTATTCAGGCTAATCTGTCTCTACCCTCTTCCTTCCTGTTTGGGGTTAGAAGCCCTCAGGCCCACAGGAGTGACTTTTACATTGGTTACTGGGGTTCCAAACTCAGTACAGCAAGCATTTTACCCAGTGAACCATCTTCCACAATCCTACTTTTAAAAAAGATTTTGTTTTTAAATTTCTTTTTATTTTATGTTTATGACTGTTTTGCTTGCCTGTATGTAAGTGCACCCATGTCATGCAAAGCCCTCAGAGGCCAGAATCAGACGTTCGATCTCCTGAAAGTGGAGTTACGGACAGTTGTTAGCTGCTAAGTAGATGCTGGGATTCGAACCTGGGTCTTCTGCAAGAACAACCAGTGCTCTTAACTTATTAACTGCTGAGCTATCTCTCCAGCCCCAATGTCAGCTTTTTTTTTTTTTTGTCTTTTTGAGACAGGGTCTCCCTGTAGTCCCAGCAGGCTTGGAACTCACTATGTAGACCAGGCTGGCCTTGAACTCACAGAGATTCACCTGCCTCTGCCTCTGGAGTGCTGGGATTAAAGGTATGTACCACCATGCCCAGCTCAGTATCAGCTTTTTAAAAACATTTCTGTGAGATAGTTTGTGCAGTGTAAGTATTAAACAAAAACAGCAACCAAAAAATCTTTTATATTTCTGTTTATAGTAGTCTAGGAAGATACATTAGAAACCTAAGTGAAATAAAAATTCAAGTAATGTTTTATCTTTGCTTAAATAGCAGTTCCAAGACTCCTTGGTCTCAAAATTTATACTTTGAAAAATATTATTGAGGACTCCAAGGAAGTTTTGTAAATATTAATTGTATCTGTTGGAATTTACCAGTTAATCTACTGATTTCTTGGAGTTGTGCTTTGGAGGAATGCTTCAATTTGTAGCCAAAATATGCCTTTATGACCTCATAGTTTTTTATTCATAAATTCCTTCTCTTATTTTAAATCATCTTAATTGTTTCAGTTTTATGGATCCCTTACATGGCTAGACTTGAGAACCCTGTGATAGTTAAATTTTTTTGTATGTGTTAATTTTTAAAAATTTTATTTATTTTAGCTGGGCGTGGTGGCGCACGCCTGTAGTCCCAGCACTTGGGAGGCAGAGGCAGGCGGATCTCTGTGAGTTCAAGGCCAGCCTGGTCTACATAGTGAATTCCAGGACAGCTGGGGCTACAGGGAGACCCTGCTTCAAAAAGCCAAAAAAAAAAAAAAATTATTTTTGTGTGTGTATGAATGTTTTTTGCCTGCATGTTACATAAGTGTACCCAAGTGTATGTGTGTGCAAAACCTGTTGTGGTCTGAAGAGGGTAATGGAGCTGGAGTTAAGGGTGATTGTTAGCTATGAGTGTTGGGAACCAAACCTCAGTTCTGTTCAAGAGCAGCCTGTACGCTTAACCACTGAACCGTCTCTCCAGCCCAGTAGTTAATTTTGATTCTTTATTTTTTTGGTCTTTTTGAGACAGTCTCTCCCTGTATCCCCAACTGGCTGGGAACTCACTATGTAGATCAGGCTGGCCTTGAACTCAGAGATCTGCCTGCCTCTGCCTCCTGTAATTTTGATTCTTAACTTGATTGGATTGAGAGATGCCTAGGAGATAAGTAAAGCACATCTTTGTATGTGTCTGTGAGTACATTTCTGGAGATGATTATGCCATGAAGTCTCTGATATAATCAGTGGTTTAATTCATTGAAAGATTAAAAATTTTAATAAACTATTTGGAGGTGATGATGCTATGGAAAATTGGAATTAATTAGAGGAAATATGTTGCTAAGGGCATGCCTTTAAGGGTATATCTTGGCCCTGGTCCTTTTCTTGTTACTCATTGCTTCCTTGCTGTCATGAGATGAACAGCTTTCCTCTGCTGTATTAGTCACTTTTCTGTTGCTGTGATAGAAACACTGACCCAAGCAATTTATAGAAGGAAGAGTTTATTTGAGCTTATGGTTCCAGGGGAATTATAGTCCGTCATGGCAGGGAGGGATGGTGGTTGGAGGCAGCTAGAGCAGGAGCAGCAGAAACCAAGCTCTCATATCATCACGCAGGCACAGGAAGCAGGAGGGTAACTGGAGATCTGGCAAGGTTTAAGAACTCTCTAAGCCCACCCCTAGTGATGTGCTTCCTCCAGGATAGCCACACCTTCTAAAACCTCCCAAAACAGCGCCATCATGTGAGGACAAAATGTCCAAATACTTGGAGCCTGTGGGGGACATTCTCATTCAAACCACCACATCTGCCATAACATTCCTTCATTGTGTTTCTGCCTTCCTTGCCTTAGGCCTTAAAGCAGTGAACTCTATGACTATACCATAGAGCTATATTCCTAGCCCCTTGTTGTTCATTATTTTGAGAAAATTGAGAAATGTATTCATTTTTTTGGGGGGGGGGATGTCTTTTTGAGACAGGGTCTCCCTGTAACCGCAGCTGGCCTGATGCTTGTCTCCTTATGTAGACCAGGCTGGTCTTGAAGTCACAGAGATCAGCCTGCCTCTGCCTCCCAGTGCTGGGATTAAAGGAGTGGGCTACCACTCCTGGCTTTATTTACTTATTTATATTTATTTATTTTAAGTGATGAACTCATTGTATGTTAGTATAAAATACTTCTAATAAGAAGTAATTTTATGTACCTCTCCTTTCTGGCTTAAGCTAGTCTTATTTTCTGATATATTTAATATGTTGCTACTATAGTCTTAAAATTCTTATGTTGAATACTAAGTCTCAAGGTGGTAGTATAGGATTAAATCATAGGGACAGCACCTTGAAAGAATGGGAATAGTGTCCTTATAGTGTCCTCATCTGTTCTGCTATGTGAGATAAAGTAAAAGGTGATTACCTGTTTTTGAATAGATCCTCACCAGATACTGAATCTGCTAGCGCCTTGATTGTATATTTTCCAGACTTGAACAATAATTCCTGCTTGTTTATAAGATACCCAGTCTATTAAGGTTACCTGAATTGCCTAAGAAAGAAAATTAGTGTTTCTATAACAAATACCTAAAATGTAGAAGTGGTTTTGGAACTGGGTCATCGGGCTAGGAAAGGTTTGAAGTTCATTCTAGGAAAAAGTTGTAACTGCTGTAAATGGATTGTTTGAGGCAATTCTTTTAGGGCTTAGGAGGAGAGAGAAGATCTGTAGTGAAGGTCTCACTCTAATACCTGAGTGAATGAGAATGTGACATTGGTAGAATTTGTTTAGTAAAGGCCATTCTGATAAGGTTTTACAAATGAACACAGACAGCAGAGGAAGCTGGTTGGCTCATACCTATAATTTTAGCACATGGAGGTAGAGGCAGGCAGATCTTTCTGTGGGAGGCCAGTGTGGTCTACATAGGGAGTTCCATAAAGGTGTCCTCTGACCTCTACATGCACACCATGGCATGCACACACACACACACACAAATGAAATACACACAGATCCCCCCCCCCCCCATTTTTTTTTTTGGTCTCAAAAAGACCAGAAAGGGGGTGGGGCACACATATTAGAGAATACTAAGGGTTATCTTTTTTTTTGAGACAGGGTCTTACTATATAGCCCTGGCTGGCCTGGAACTCACAAAGATCTGCCTCCTCTTTAGGAATTAAAAGCATTTGCCATCAGCCTAGCCTGAGGGTTATCTTGACAGAATCTATTCTCCAAGACAATGGAAGAGTTATTCTGAAAATCATTCATCAGGGCTGCCACCCCAAGACTGGCTTGTGAGTGAAATTGTGAACTTAATCATGGTTTACTATTTAAATTCTTATTCTTTGCATCAGCTTCTTTGCATAACCCACATGATTTTGTTAGATTAGCTGTTAGTAGGTAAATTTGTATAAATTAAAAGCACCTATAATGTATGTTGTCAATCCAAACATCATCTGTCTTGCTACGTTTTTTTTTTCTTTTTCACTTTTTAAAAAATTTAATAACCACATGATTAGAAGAAGCATTTTATTACAGCTTTAATATATTCAATAACAATTTCCAGAGAAAGGATACATCACTTTCAAAAGTGGCTGTAAAATTTTAAGTTCACAGTTGAATTAATACAGTTATGCAATATTGAACTGAGTATATAAACCCTGTAAGATAAAATTGAATGAGTTTTTAACCTTTAAAAAAGATCTCCATTTCATTTTAAAATATAGTGTTTCCTACAGAAAAACTCATTTTTATTGGCGTGGAGGAAAGACTTGCTTCCTTTCTTGTTATCCCAACCCTGCATTGTGTGTGTGTGTGTGTGTGTGTGTGTGTGTGTGTGTGTGTGTGTGCGCGCGCGCACGCACGCACATACGCACACTTATACACATTTACCAACTAGTGAAAGGATTTTTGTATGTTATATCAGTTTGCATTTTGGAGACAGATGTGTAAGATGTACCCAAATTTAGAAAATTCACAGCTGGATAGAATATAGATGATTGAATTGGACATGGTGGGGCACACCTTTAATCCCAGCACTTGGGAGGAAGAGGCAGGCAGATCTCTGTGAGATCGAGACTACCCTAGTCTACATAGTGAGTTCCAGGACAGGGGCTACAGGAAGAACCTGTCTCAACAAGACCTCTCCCCCCCCCCTCACCAAATAGATGATTGAGTGGACAGATATATTTTGAAGAAAATTTAAAAATAACTAGAATAGTATGTAAACTATTGATAGACATGAAAACTGGTTGTTGGAGTGCTTGTTTTTAGGATACTGTGTTAACAACTGTAATAAATGTGTAGTTATGGCATTGCCAGCCACTGCAGCTCTGTGTGATGATGGCTTGTGTGTGCTTTGCCATGATTAGAACTTAAATAACTGGGGATTGAGGGAATAGCTCAGTGATTGCCTACGGTGTGAAAGGCTTTTTTGTTCCATCCTTGGCATTGCAAAAACATTAAAAGAACTTGTATAACTGCATCTATAGGGAATCTATGGGCTGAATAGGAAGAAAAACAATTGTGTCTAAAAGTTGGAAATATTGGAGAAACATTACAAAAGATATAATATGAATAAATTCATTGGAGATTAACCCTGTTTTAGTTTTGGATCCTGACTCTTGTGGCTATTTTCACCAGTGGAAATGTCTTATGCTCCATTGCATTGCTAGTATCATCTTTTTTTTTTTTTTTTGGTCTTTTTGAAACAGGTCTCTCCTGTAGACTAGGCTGGCCTTGAACTCGCAAAGATCCGCCTGCCTCTGCCTCCCAAGTGCTGGGACTACAGGCGTGCACTACCATGCCTGGCGCTAGTACCATCTTTATAAATAAAAATCTGTTTTATTTTACATACTTTGGAATATATAAAATGGAAAATTGTAATAGAAAGGTATCCCTCTTATACTTGATGTTGTCTAATACCAAATTTGCGTTTACCTAAGACAATCAGACAAGTAAGAATGTGCATTTGTAAAGGAAACTGTATTGGCACAATGTTTTATTTTTTACTTTTTCTTTTTGTCTTTTGAGATAGGGTCTCACTATGTAGCACTGGCTGATCTAGAACTCCTTATGTAGACCAGGTTGGCCTCAAACTCAGAGATCCACCTACCCCTGGGTGTAGATTAAAGGCATGTGCCACCATTCCCAGCTTTGCCCAAAGTTTTTAGAAGCCATTTGCCTTTGAGAATTTTCATAAGACTTGTTAAAACATTGAAGGAAGTACCAAAATAAATTTAGCATTTAATTTACATATATATATATATTTTTTAAATGAGGACACTTATTTTTTAACAAGTAAATTTTTTTTATTAGGAGGCTGAGGTGGGAGGGCTGCTAATTGAAGGTCAGCTGGGCTACTGTAGTGAGACTGTCTCAGGACAAGAGAATAAACAACCCCCCACCCTCAAATGAGTAAAAGTTTTTGGATCTTTTTTTTAAATCTATCTATACAGTTATCAGTCTACTTATTTACCTGTCAACTTACCTGTTTTGAGATGTTGACTCTTGCAGCCCAGGCTGCCCTCAAACTCTCTACGCACCCTGGAATGACACTGAACTCTTGAATTTCTGGCCTCTACTTCCCAAGTGCCAGGATTATAGAATATATCCCACCATGTGCTGCCTAGATCATTATTGATATTTGATTGTTGTTTTTTTTTGTTTTTTTTTTTTTGTTTTGTCTTTTTGAGACAGGGTCTCCCTGTAGCCTCAGCTGACCTGGAACTGACTATGTAGACCAGGCTGACCTCAAGCACACAGAGATCTCCCTGCCTCTGCCTCCCTAGGGCTGGGACTAAAGATGTTGTGACACCATGCCCTATGATACTGGATTGTTTTAAAGGTATTATGTCTTTTAGTCTAATCTGATTTTATTTATGTTTTACTAGGATTGATGCTGATACTACTAATGTCAGTGATGGTAACATAGAATGTTCAGAACCTGTGGCTAGCATTACTGTAGACAATGAAGTCATGCAGCAAGATTTTATATTTGAGGATCAGAAAAATAATCAGGTAAGTGATATGAAAAAGTCTGCTGTAGGTGTGCTTGAAGCACCACTCTTGATTGTTTCATGTGTTCCTTTAGTATCAGAAGTTATAGTTGAGTAGTTGTCCTCACATACTTGTCTCAGTCATAAATTTCCAAGGATATACATTTTTTCTTTAGAATTTAGGGAAGCATGTTGGGCAGAAAGGTAGATGTGAAGCACCTTACTTTATTATTACTATTGTTAATCTTTGTGTGTGTGTGTTTGTGTTTGTGAGAGAGTGTGTACACATGCTATGGCATGTATGGACAGAGGGCAACCTTGGGTGTTAGTCCTCCTTTCCGCCTTGAGACTGGTCTTTTGTTGTGTGCCACTGCATACTCCATGCTAGAATTGGAGCTTCTGGAATTTCCTATCTCCGCCTCCCATTTGCTGTAGACCATTGGGAGCTCAGGTATGCATTACCACACTTTATATGGGCTCCTCACACTTGTGCAGCAGGCACTTTTACCCATTGAGCGATCTCCATAGCCCAAATGTCCTTTAAAACAGTTCTTCTTGGTAATGTATGTGGTGACCACAGTCCTTTAAACCCTGTACTCAAGAGGCAGAGGCAGGCAGATCTCTGTGAAGTCAAGGCTACCTGGTCTATATAATGAGTTCCAGGTCAGTGAGGGCTACGTAGTGAGACCCTGTCTCAGAAAAACAAACAAGATTAACCACCCCCCACCCCCCAAATTACTTGCAAGAAAAATTTATGATGCCAGCTGGAGTAGTAAGGTGGTATTGTGGTTGAATTTTGTTATTTTTCAGAACTTTCTATGTATATAATATAGACCAAAAAAAATACAAAGTAATATAGACAAAAAATGATTTTCATTTTTCTCTTTATAGTTCTTAATTGAAGTATATCCCTTTAACAAAAGACAGTTTAACAGTAGAAAAAAAAAGCTTAATAACATGCATACCTCATTTACACATACAAGATAAGGGAAACAGTAAATCTTTAAAAGGTGGCATAGATTTTATGGGTATGAGTGTTTTGCCTGCATGTATACAAATGCACCACAAGTATGCAGTGCCTGCAGAAACCAGAAGAGGGTGTTGGATCCCCTGGAACTGGAGTTAGATACAGTTGTTAACTACCATGTGGATTCTGCGACTCAAACTTGGATCCTCTGCAAGAGTAGGAAGTGCTTTTAACCACCGAGCCAACTCTCTAGCCCCTAAAGGGTGGCCTAAATACCATTAATACCTTCTGAAACAAAGAAGGGTGGGTATGATAAAGAGATGACCAGGAAGACTATTCGAGAAAAAACTAAGTTCCGACAGACTGATAAAGATACTCTTGTGATATAGTCATCTTTTGGTAGAGGAGACACTCTTAGAAGTAGAGATTTCTGTTACATATGAAATTTTGTGATGTAAAAAGGGTAATGTTTCTTTTTCTTGTGTTTGCTATTTCCTAAAATAATGAGCTCAAACTAATCTTTTATTACTTATATTTTCTGTGTATGAGTGTATTGCCTGCATGTACATAAGTACACCCATGTGGTGCAATGCCCATGGAAGTCAGAAGAGGGCATAGGATCCCCTGGAACTGGAGTTACAGATGGTTGTTAACCTCCATGTGGGTGCTGGGAGTCAAACCTGGGTCCTCTGCAAGAGCAGCCAGTGCTCTTAACCACTGAGCCATCTCTTCCAGCCCCTCACAGTAATCTTTATGCCAAAGAGGCATATGGTATGTTTTACACTCTACTATTGGAATCGTTCTGCAGTTACAGAAAACCCATGCATATTATTTTGAAAATAGTAAAATTATCAGTGTCACATATGTTATTGGTATCTTTGTTTTAAAAATAATTCATCATGCTGGGTATGGTGGTGCATGCTTTTAATCCCAGAACTCAGGAAGCAGAGGCTACCTGGTGTATGTAGTGAGTTCCAGGCCAGCTGGGACTACAGGGAGACTCTACCCCACTCCAATATATATATTTACATATATCTAAAAAAATTAAGCCGGGAGTGGTGGCGCATGCCTTTAATCCCAGCACTTGGGAGGCAGAGGTAGTCATATCTCTGAGTTTGAGGCCAGCTGGGGCCTCAGAAAGACCAAAAAAATTAAATTTTCAGAAGTAGAGGTCAGTGGTAGAGTGCTTGCCTCACATGTGAGAAGACTTGAATTTGATCCCTAGGAATGAAAGAAAAAATTACTACAAAAACATCTAAGACATTAGACATCTAAGACATCTAAGAAGTATAGTTGTTTTGTTTTTTTTAAACAGTTTTAAGACTAAGTACTTTTAGAAATAAGATACTAGCTAAACATGATGATGCACTTTTAATCTCAGCACTCTGGAGCAGAAGTAGGTGGTTCTATGAGTTCAAGGCCACCTGGTCTACATAACAAGTTCAGGCCTTTTAGGGTTACATAGTGAGATCTTGTCTTTTTTTTTAAAAGATAGTACATGAATGCATAACGAAGTTTTCTTCAGCATATTTCCATCGTAAACCGTTCAATAAAGTAGGTAGAACGAGCAGTTTAGAGTCAGCACACTTATTCCATCATTTTCTTTTCTTCCTTTTCATGTAGTCTCTCGACTCTTCATCCTTCTGCCTCTTCTGTGCATGTGGTACCGTGCTTGGCTATTTTTACTTTGGTATTTTTTGTATGTGGGCACTGACCTCAGTCTCAAAAACTCCTTCTGCCTAGCTTCCTGAGTCTGAATTACACATATGAACCACCACATGGGGTTCTACTTTTGCTTTTTGTTTTTCCTTAAGGTTTATGCATTTAATTTTTATTTTGTGGTGTGTGTGTGTGTGTGTGTGTGTGTGTGTGTGTGTGTGTGTGTGCACACGTACGTGTTTGTGTGTACTATGTACATGCAGGAGCGAGGGGAGGCGAGGAGAGGGAGTAAGACCCTCAGAAGCGGGGGGCGCAGGGGTGTGTTATCAACTAACCTGTTTATGTGTACCATGTACATGCAGGAGCCAGTGGAGGCTAGAAGAGGGTGTAAGATCCCCTGAAGCTGGGGTTGCAGATGGTTGTAATGTACCATGTGGGTCCTCCACAAGAGCAGTAAATGCTCTTAACTGATGAATCATCTTTCCGGCCCCCCTAATTTTTACCTCTTTAAAAAATATTTTATTTATTTATTTATTTATTATTATTATTATTATTGGTCTTTTAAAAATTATTTATTTATTTTTGGTCTTTTTTTTTTAATAGGTAAAAATTTAATTTGCTCACTTCCATTCTTCTAAAACATCCAGAACTAGAATGGCTTCTTGAACAACAGCTTTTAGCAGAGAATAAAGATCACAATAGAGAGAGATGCCCAGCTTCCCACAGCAGATTCCCTCTTAACGGAAAAACAAAAAAGAAGAATGCAGGGTGTGGTGGTTGTATACACCATTGCAACACAAGCACAAGCGGCTGGATCTCTGTGAGTTTGAGGCCAGCCTGTTGTTCTACTTAGCGAGTTCCAGGTCAGCCAGGCCTGGAGACCTTGTCTCAAAAAGGAAAAAAAAAAAAAAAAAAAAAGAAAAGGTAAAACAAAAAAGGTCCATTTTCCTTAAAAAAAAAAACAAGAAAAACCACACACATTTATTTATTTAGATGAGAGACATACATCTTTTTTTTCCTAAAGGGCTCAATCTAATGTTTCTCGAAACTTCAGATGAGAATGAGAAACACGTGGGTGTACTCTAACCATGATGTTATCTGACAGAAGATGGCACCCACTGAGACACTCAAACCTACTTTAACCATGAAGTCCCAAGATGTGTGGCAGGGAAGCATTTTGCCAGGAAAAACTAAATTAAAGTCCAGGCAAATATGCTTCACTCATCTGGTTCTTCTCTAATAGATTGCTCATCCAAATCTAACAGTGTGGTTACAACCCTGAAAGTGTTTATGAAATCAGCCTTAATTCCCAGATAACTTTATCTGCTAGGGATGGAACAGAGTCTTCAGCATGATGCACAGTTGACTTGTACTCTGCCACTGGACAACAACCCCAGCTCCTGCTCTTCTGACATGGTTTCATTATGTCCTTAGACTGGCCTTGAGTTCAATTATGTTGCCCAGGCTGCTCTCAAATTCACGATTCTCCTGACTCTGTTTCCTGAGTGTTGGGGTTACAGGTGTGTACCACTATGGTCAGTTTATCTGCTAATTTTCTACCCTGTGATCTTCAGGTTTTTTTGTTTCTTCTGTCTTCTTTTCTTTCCATAATTTACCAAGGATAATCCCTAAAAACAAGAGTATTCCTATTGTGTGGTTGGAAGTAAATTTGTCCCACAGTCATCTGACCTGCGGATGTCTAGCATATAAATTTGGTGGGCCAGATGGGCTCCGATGGCGGCCACAGCAGCATAGTAGGGGGCAGTCTGACCACTGTTGGCTTCCACTAGGCTCAGTGCTCCCAGCATGGTGACCCTGAAGCCACTGAGCCACTGCTTGGTATTCTCTCTGAACAGCAGTGCCGTAGACTTCAGACCAATCAGAGCATCATCTTTTTTGTCCTGATGGGCATAAATAGTATCATGTATCAGTGTCCACATAACTCCAGAGAAATACGGCACACCGATGGGTCACAGGAACCCTTGATAGCAGACCAAGTAGTGCTCCCCAATTAAAAGTCAGCCCCAAGGCTGAGGCCAATATGTGATTCCTTTCATTAGAGGGTAGGTGATGACAAGAAGTAAGGACGCTGCTCCCAGAACTATGCTGTAATAGTTCAGACACAGAAGAATGCCCAGTGCCAAGGTCAACTGTCCCCCAAGAAAGACAAAGGATTGGAAGGTTGAAATGTCTCCAGCTGCTATTGGGCAATTTGCTGTTCTTTTAACCTTTTTATCGTAGTCACGGTCCCACATGTCATTAATGGTACAGCCTGCTCCACGCATCAGAACAGCTCCAGTGCCAAAGAGGGACAGTATGTACCAGTCTGGAAAACAACCTGGTTCAGCGGCTAAACTGATGCTCCAGGTACATGGCAAATACAGTAGATGGGTTTGTCCAACCGCATAAGGCGCAGGTAGGGCTGCAGAGGGCGTGGCGCTGAGTTCACCACCACCACCACGGCCGACAACCCGAGTGTGCGCTCGCAGCTTGCTCCCACTGGTCCCATGTGCCCGCCACCCCTGCCAGGTGTGCCTGGGCCATGGAGTGCTCCTGTGGACCCGGCCGCCGGCCGCCACACCAGCGCCACGGCCCGCAGAGCACACCGCAGGGCCAGCATGGCGCGAGGGTCTCCCTGTAGCCCCAGCTGTCCTGGAACTCACTGTGTAGACCAGGCTGGCCTTGAACTCACAAAGAGCCGCCTGCCTCTGCCTCCCGAGTATTGGGATTAAAGGCGGGGGCCACCTCGCCCAGCTATTTTTATTTTTTTTATGTGTAAGTGTATTGCTTGCATGTTTGTAAGTGCACCTGTGTCGTGAAATGTTGCGGAGGTCAGAAGAGGGCCTCGGATTCCCCTGGAACTGGAGTTAAGGATGGTTCATATACGCCATGACTGCTCTTAACCTCTGAGCCATCTGCCAGCCCCTATTTTTGGTTTTTTTGAGACAGTCTCCCTGTAGCTACAGCTGACCTGGATTCAGTATGGAGGCCACACTGGCCTCAAACTCACAGAGCTCTGCATGCCTCTGCCTCCCAAGTGCTGGGACTAAAGACATGCACCACCACACCCGGCTATTTATTATTTTTTAAATACTTTTATTTTTTTTAAATTTATTTATTATTTTTTGGTCTTTTTGAGACAGGATCTCCCCATAGCCCCAGCTGTCCTGGAACTCACTATGCAGAACAGGCTGGCCTTGAACTCACAGAGATCCGAATGCCTCTGCCTCCTGAGTGTTGGGATTAAAGGCTGTGCACCACCACACCCGGCCTTATTTTATTTTTTAGTGTGTCTGAGTGTATTGCCTTCCTGCTAAGTGCATCTGTGTTGTGCAATGCCCTCAGAGGTCAGTAGAGGGCGTCAGATCCTTTGTTATGCACAATTGTTAACTGCCATGTGGGTGCTGGGTATCGAACCTGGCTCCTCTGTAAGAGCAGCCAGTGCTTTTAACCTCTGAGCTCTCTCCGGCTGCTGTTTTTTACTTCTTAATAGCTTTATGACTCCCACCAAGTTAATTGGCTTTTGAGTGGCATTTTACTTTCCTGTAGGAAATAAAGAAGGGTAATACCTGATGGGAGATTATGATGGAGAAAAGAAGTAAAAATATTATGTTTTAAAACAGTTGTTTTAACTCGAAAATATTTCATAAAAGTGCAAGGCTGGGTGTGGTGTTACATGCCTTCAGTCCCAGCACTGGGGAGGCAGAGGCAGGCAAATCTCTGTGAGTTCAAGGCTAGTCTGGTCTATGTAGTGAGTTCCAGGACAGCTGGGGCTACAGGGAGAGCCTGTCTCAAAAAGACCAATAAAATAATAATAATAATAAAAAGTTAAGGTGTGATTGTTACTTTCACTGGACTTGTAATATTAGATGAACCTGTTATTACTTACTCAGTTATTGCTTCTGTAGTTGTCCCCTCACCCTTCCTGAATTACCAGTTTATGTGTCTACTACCCAGTCACTGCCACCAGTATAAAATATTTTTATTTACCATCCCCGCCCACCTTCAGGAATACCCAGAACCTCTTTTTTAAATTATTATTTTTATTTTATGTGTATGAGTGTATTGCATGCATGTAAGTGTACACGTTGTGCATTATCCAGGGAGGCCAGAAGAGGGCTTCAGATCCCCTGGAACTGGAGTTACAGACAGTTGTTAGCCGTGATCTTGGTGTTGGGATTCAAACCACGTCCTCTGCAAGAACAATCAGTGCTCTTAACTGCTGAGCCAGCTCTCTAGCCCCCTTTTCTTTTTTGTATGTAGGCACTGGCCTCAATCTCAAAGGATTCCCCCTTTATGCGTGCATGTGTGTGTGTGGTGCTGGGAAGGAACCAGGGTCATATACATACTACACAAACACTACCACAGCAACACTCTACCACAATCTGGAATGTTTACTTACTGCAGAAATTTAAGAGTTCTTTGCCTATTTTGGGCAATATCATATATATGTCTATAGAAATCATTTCTTTTTAATGTGCTTCTGGACTATGTAGTAAATATTTAGAACTTTTGTCTTAGACAAAGAGATTGGTCTCTGCAGAGAAAATTGGTGGAATATAGTTACCTTGTTTCCAAAATGAAGGCCAGAGTGTTTTGGAAACTGATAGCCATCCAAAAGGAAGTGCTGGCTGTCAGTTGACTTGTAGCTTCATGGGACCTCATCAGTTTTGATAACATTAATTCAAAGAAGAGAATAGATTAGGTTGAACTCTCCAAATGTACAGTTTAAGGTTTGGTTGAGCAAATGAAATTTGAAATATTTAGGATATTCAAAAGGAGTAGCTAGCATGCTTAAAGGAGAAATAGGCAGAGGGGAAAGAGTTTATTTCATTTTAAGTTACAGTTCATCATTGAGGAAGGCTAAGGCAGGATTCAGGACAGGAATCTGGATACAGGAACTTCATGAAGCAGAGACCATGGAGGAATGATATTTACAGGTTTGTTTCCCTCGGCTTGCTCAGTTACTTTTTTTTTTTGTCTTTTTGAGACAGGGTCTCTCTGTAGCCCTAGCTGGCCTGGAACTCACTATGTAGACAAGGCTGGCCTTGAACTCATAGAGATCTTCCTGCTTTTGCCTCCCCAGTGCTGGGATCAAAGGCATGGGCCACCACACCCAGCTTAGTTACCTTTTCACATAGCCCAGGCCCACACTTATAGGGAAGCCCTCCCATAGCAATCAGAAATCAAGAAATTGCCCCACAGACATGCCCACAGGCCAGTCTGATGGGAGGCAGTTCTTCAGTTGAAATTCTCTCATCTCAGTCTAGGTTTGTGTCAAGTTGACAAAAATTATGACTGTGTATATGCCTGTCTGTGTGCACATGCATGTGGAGGCCAGAGGACAACCTTGAGTGTTATCCCTTGGGAGCTGGTCTACTTTGTTTTGAGACAGCATCTATCACTAGCCTAGGGTGAGTCGGCTAGGCTGGCTAGCCAGTGAGTTACAAGAATCCACTTGTCTCTGCCTCCCAAGTTCTGGGATTCCAAGTATGTACCACCACAGCAGCTTTTTTTTTTTTTTTGGTTGATCTTTTTGAGATAGGGTCTCCCTGTAGCCCCAACTGGCCTAGGACTATGTAGAGCAGGCTGGCCTTATAGATTTCTGGCCTCATAGAGATCTGCCTGATAGATATCTGCCTGCCTCTGCGTGCTGGGATTAAAAGTGTGTGCCACCATACCCATCTTTTTTGGTTTTTTTGAGACAGGGTTTCTCTGTAGCCCCAGCTGGCCTTGAACTCAGAGATTTGCCTGCCTCTACCTCCCAAGTGCTGGGATTATAGGCATGTGCCACCATGCCCAGCCCCCCTCTTTTGAATGTTGGTTTGGGGGATCAAACTCAGGTTTCCCCATGTTTGAAAGACAAGCATTGTACTGACTACATTCTCTCCAGCCCTCATTTTTCTTTTATATTGCCTCCAATTGCCTTTCTGTTTAGTACTTTTCAGTATTTAAAAAGCAAATTTAAGAATTAGGTTGTCTAATGCCGAATATGGTGGCTCAAACATAATCTCAGGTTGGAAGGCTGAGGTAGGAGAATCATAAGTGTAAGGTCACCCTGGGCTACATAGTAAGATTGTGGTCAGCCTGGGAAACGTAGCCAGGCCTTGTCTCTAGCTAAAATAAACTAAGGACTGGTGTGTTGTTTAGTGGCAGAGAACTTGCCTAACATTCACAAGGTCTTAGGTTCCATTCCCTGTACACACGTAAGCACACACACATGCCCTCACCCCCCGAAAAGGACAAAGCCAGGCATGGTTTTACCTGCCTGTAATTTTAGCACTTTTGAGATAGGAGTCTTGAGTTTGAGACTAGTCTGAGTGAGATCTTGTCTTGAAGAAGGAGACAGAGTTTTTTTCCCTTCTAAATATGGCTGTAGGGTATATTGACATTAGCTATATTTGTCTTTGTACTATGTTCAGTTGTCACAAAGTTTAAAAAAAAGTACAGATTAAATAAGAGTTGGTGATGGTATATTATGCTTTTATAATAGAGGCTTTTTTATTGTTTTAAGATCTTTTTTGATTCTGTCTTGATAACTAACGCAGATGAAATCCTGGGTAATGATTTTTTTCATGTGCCCAGAAACTTTCAAAATGTAGGTTTACATTCTAGAGATAAAGATTGATAGAAGTTTGATTTCTAGGTCATTACTTCTCATGCTAAGTTTCTGGACCACTTTGAAAAATTATTGAGAATGTTAAGCCAGGTGTGGTGGTGTATGCCTTTAATCCCAGCACTCGGGAGGCAGAGGCAGGCAGATCTCTGTGAGTTCAAGGCTAGCCTGGTCAACATAGTTGAGTTCCAGGCCAGCTGGGGTTACAGGGAGACTGTCTCAAAAAAAAAAAAAAGAAAGTTTATTGAGAATCTTAAAGAGTGTTTATTTTCCTTTGTGGGCTTTCTCTATCTTTGAAGCACGGTCTCACCATGTTACCCAGTTCACCTTGAACTCAAATCTCCATGCCTTAGCTTTAACCAGCCCACCTCCCTTAACCTTAATCTAACCTGTCATAGTCTGCCGAATAATTGGGACTGTGGGTTCATACCACCATGCTTAGCTTGCTCCTTTCTTCTTCCCTTTCTCCCTCATGAGTGCATGTGTATATACATGCACTGAGGCCAGGGATCAACATCAACTGTCCTCAGTTACTTGCTGCCTTATTTTTTGAGACAGAACCTCAAAACCTGGAGCTTGCCAATTTGGTAGACGTGAGTAGCCAGCAACCCCAGGGATCCTCTTGTCTCTGCCTCCCCAATCCTGGGATTGCAGGTCTGCACCTAGCTTATTCACATAGGTGCTGGGAATTGAACCCAGTTCCTCATACTTGCACCACAAACACTTGACCAACAGCCCGCTTTTTTATTGATATATGGCTCTTCTCATAAAAAACTGTAATTTGGAAGTTGCATTATTTTGTGTGTGTGTGTGTGTGTGTGTGTGTGTGTGTACATGTACATGAAATTAATCCCTGCCTAAGGAAGACAGTTCAGTTCAGTTGCTTTTGTATTCATAGTGTAGCTGTAGATTGGATTGATTGCAGAGTAGGAGGCAGTTCAGGAGATACATAGCTGGAAAAGGGAATAGATTAGTTGCTTTCTTCAGATAATTATGCATCTTTCATAAGAAAACTGGATCAAATGGTAGTTTCTAAAGAGTTTAATAAGGGACCAGCAAGATGACTCAGTGGATAAAAGTACTTGCTACATGCAAGCTTATCGATCTGATTCAGCGCCCAGGACTTGTAGTGAAAGGAGAAAACTGATTCCTAAAAGTTGTCCTCTAACTGCTACACATGTGCTGTAGCATGTATGCATATATATGTGCATACACACACGTGCACACAAATAATCAAATAAAAACTCAAGAAAAACATCTAAGAGGAATTGAAGCTTTTGTTGCTTTTAAAGATCTTATCAAAACATGAAAAAGTATAAGACTTTGAAGGCTTTTTGTTTCATTCATTTGGAGGCAGAGTATCACTATGTAGTCTAGGCTGGCCTGGAACTCACTATGTAGCCCTAGGATGGACTCAAGCTTTGGATCTTCATGGTCTACCTCTTGAGTGTTGGAATTATAGGCAACCTCACACCTATTTCTCTTGGACCATTTTTAATTTGTGAGAGAGGTAGGATGAGGTAGCATCATTAAACTGTTGAGAAATAGAAGATTGTTCTGTGTTTCTGAGGTTCAAGAGGGCCCCCTGTATGAAAAGAAGTTTTAATTTTAAATGTGTATTTAATGAAGTGATCTGGTTGAAGACTCTTCTATTTCCTTCTGGAAATAACCAACTTATATTTTTTTGTTGAGGAGAAGCACAGCAAACATTAGTAGGCAAGTGGGATCAAAAGATTGTCTTTTTTATTTTATTTATTTTTTAACTTGGGGTGCTGGAGATCAAATTGAGGAGGCCAGGGCCTTACCTATACTAGGCAAGTACTCTGCCATTGAACCCCATCTGGTGCCCAACACCATTAGTATTGAAGAAAGGAATTCTAAGGAAGGAGGATAGTAGTGATGGTACCTATTAACTACAGGGTAGAGATAATATGGGGTCCCTGCTATATTAATATTTTTAAAATTTTGAGGGAAGGAAACTCTGTACAAAGAGCTGCCAATTCCTACAAACTGTTCCAAATAGCTAGAGAGGAATGTTTGACTAATCAGTAATCTAAATGTCCTATTTAGATTGGTAACATTCTCTCATATATGAGTGTTGGGAGTGCTGGTAATACAGGGGTGGTATTCTTTTGTCAGTCTGTAGGTATATTGTTAGAGCCATGCAGTGACCACGGTGATAGTGAAGATGGCTATCCTGATAGGTAAGCATCCTTTGTTCTTGATAAATTATTTTGAGATTTGGAAACTTCACACATTTTTGGTTGCATTTTTTAGATGAATATATCCATTATAACATACAGTTTAGGTAATCTAAAAAATAAATCATGTTTCTTGTTTTGATGGGAGACTTAGCACATATTAAATAGCCACAAATATTTAAAGCTTCACAGCTTCAGACAGATATTAATTATAAACATTCAGAGAGAACTCATTTGCGTTCTTAGAGATTCCCCCAAAACTTTGACTTATAGAACAATTACGAATTTGATACTGTAAATATACCTGTCAGTGATATAGTCTGGGAACTGTGGCTAATCAGCCAAGTAATTATAGGATATGTGCTTTAGCAGATAAAGTACAGGGTCTTTCTTATTTGCCTTATTTGTCCTTACCATGTCCCAGTACAGTCTTACGCATTTGGTGCTTGTTTACCTCCCTCACCAATTATAAGATCAGGAGATGTCTGAGACAGTGAGATTTCAACCAAATGTAGAGCCTCCTTAGGTACAGTCCCTTTAAATAAAAGCTTTTGCAGGCTGCTTTAGTCAGTGGATAAAAGTTCTTTCAGTCACTTGGGTTGTGTTACACATTGCATCATTCTTTTAGTTTTCCAAAAGTGCATTATAACATTCTTAGGAAAGGTGATTTGATACTCTGAAAACACATCAGTAGTGAGGGATCTAATACAGCATTACTAATTTGTTGATAGACTGTTGGTAAGGGTAAACTTTTGTTAATGCTGTTGTCTTTTTTAATCGTGAGTAGGAAACCTGTTCTTGGAGGGTAAGTAAATTCTTTGGAGCCATGTCTCTGGAGTGTCCTCATACTCTGAAGGTCCACAGTTTTCCTGCTTACAGCAGTTCCTTGTGCTTCCTTTCAGGAGGCAGGACTGATCCTCTTCCAGCCCAGGGAGTTTTGGAGCTATGGGCTGAAGATATAAGATTAACAGCATTAACAGGCATCCCCAGAATGATGACATCTGGATATGGTAGAGCAATAAGGATCCATTTAGTGAGGACCCAGTCTTTTTGGAAAGCTCTTTCCTCTTCAACTTGTGTTTAGGTTAGCAAACTTGTTTTTAGATTCAGAGTTCTTTGGTTAGGTGTATGACATTTTTGCATGTTTAACGCCCATGTTTCTCAGATTTAAGTGATTAGTCTGCTGAGCAGAATCCAACTCACTCTACCATTGTCTTCCACCCTAAACAAAAGAAAGCCTTGAGCTTATTAGGGAATTTAATCACCAAGGATAAGGTACTTATGTCTATGAGATGACGTCCCATATTTAAATCAAGACTTGTCTTCCAAGTGCTACTATTATGATCGGTTATAAGTAGCACTTAAGTATGTGTATTATAACTTGTCACAGATGTCTTTGAGGAGAATTTCCCACTGTGGGCATATTGATAGCCTACTGTATTAATAGCAGATGCTCTGTTGATTGGCCAAGTAGGTAGTAGTCATTCTTAAAATTGATTTTAAATGGGGTTTACTTTTTCTGAGGGACTAAGATTTTTCCCTTTTTTGCTGCTGTTAGGTTTTTGAGGAAAGCATACAAGTAATATCCTTGGATTACAGGCTAATCTTATGATAGTACACAGACTTAAATGACAGACCTGTACCTCTTCAGAAAGAAGTCTTTGAATGGGAGAATAAACCTATTGGTTAAAACTAACATTTATTTGATAAACTTCCATTATGTATCCATTCTTAGTAGTTTCTATACTGTGGATTTTCTTTTCTTTTCAAAAAGATTTTTCTTTTGGAGGGTGGTTTTGTGTATGGAGGAAATAGTGGAAAGTGTTACTTAATTTTCCTAAACCTGAAGTGATTCTGTGGATCTTTTCAGTATTGTGTGATTTTTCAGATATAGGGCTCCAAAGAATAGGCATATGCCCTGTTGTCATTGTCTCCACAAATTTTAAATGCTAAGCTACATTGGGGAAGAGAAGAATCTAGGTAAGAAATTAGTAGTAGTAACCTTTTTATTCTTTGTATACTAACAATTTTACTTGTGTTTTTAGGAAGGAATATTTGTTATGTGGCAGTGATAAATTGCCACCCTTGATTCTGGTAAGAATTATTTTTGTATTATAGTTCTTAAAAATGTTGCTTACTGTGTCATTTATTATATCTGGCCTTTAACCCTTGCATTGAATAAGCTGAAAGGAGATATAAATATCACTCATTAAATATGTTGCAGTTAAGCAGCAACTAATATACCACTTTTGGTTATAAGATTGTTGGTTATGAAAGTGCTTTCCTGAATTTGAGATCCAAACTTAATCTCCCAGTAAGACAATTATTTTTATTTTTATTTATTTTTTTGGTCTTTTTGAGACTGTAGCCCCAGGTGGACTGGAACTCACTATGTAGAGGCTGTCCTCAAACTCACTGAGATTGCCTGCCTCTGCCTCCCGAGTGCTGGGATTACAGGTGTGCACATCCAGTAAGACATTTATAATAAAATTATAAGTTTACATTTGAAAATAGTTTGGATAATAGGAATGGGACTGTTGGCTTTATAGGCATAAAGTAATAAAAACTTTTAAAAACTACAAATAAGAAATAATAAACTAATAAAAATTACAAAAAGCTGTGTATATGCTCATTGTCTTTAAGCCAGTTGTCAAAAGCTTCATGGTTGTGAAATGCATTCTTTATTTTAAAATACAGGATTCTAGTAGCAAGATGCATGATTTGAATGCCAACACTGAATCAGAAGTGACAGGAAGTCAAAGTGTTGGTGTTCAAGGAGAAGCAGCATGTATACAGATTGCACATTTAGATCTGAAGAGTGTTTCTGATGGTGATAAATGGGAAGGTAATTTCATACAAACATTATTTTCCTAATACTGTTGATTTAATTGTAACTGAAATTACTCAAAGAAGTAATGAGACTGCTGCCCTTTTGGACAGTGCTTTCCATCCTGATCTCTCCAATCGGAGATAAAGTTTTTTGGTTTTGTTTTGTTTTTTTCTTAAGTACATTAGTAGGGCAGCTCTCTCATGAATCAAGAATTTCACTATTTGACCTACTAGCTTTGAGAATGAATGTTGCAGCTGTTGGTGCATGTGTGTAATCCCAGTATTTGGGAGAGGTGAGGCAGGAGGAACATGAGTTTCAAGGCCATTCTGGACTACATCATGAGACTGGCTCAGCACCCCTCCCCAAACTGCACTCCCCTGTGCTACCAATCATAGCAGAATTGATTAAAAAATCACCTTAGAGTAGGTTTTTTAAAATTGTTAAATCAGATGCCAACCAATTTAACAGAGGGTATCTAGCTATCTTTCCTTAACAATCATCAGGGAATTGTTTTTTGTTCTTTATTTAAAAAATCTTCAAGGGTATGTCTGAGTAAAGATTGTACCATATACCTGTGTTAGTTTACAAAAGTATGTTGTGGAGACCCTAAAATTTGCACCAAGGAATGACGCTTAAATTTAACAAGCAGCATGGGCATATGCATTTCTTAAAACTTAGCAAATACATGCTAAAGATTTTTTCTTTTCTTTATATATGTAAAGATTTTACATTAAACATAAATAAACCAATATTGAATTTTATTGAATTATTTGCTTGCTGAAAAATACCAGTAACTGCAATTTACTTTGAAATCTATATTAAAAAGGTGACCAATGAGATGAAGTATTATATGGCAGTTATAATAAAATGTTAATGGTATAATCTGTCATTGATGTATGGGTATTTCAGCTTTGCTGTATTTTTGTCAACTTTGAAGTAGATAGAATGCTGGAGGAGGAGGAAAACAAGCAACAAATTTGGATCCATGAATCTTCGTGGATCATAAACCTTCCTAGATAAAAAACAAGACAACTGAGGACTCTTATACCAAGTGGCATATTTGGTTAAAGATCCCTGGGCTTGTCGCTTGACAAGTTACTTAATGACATACAGTAGCAATTATAAGAGGAATTGCAGTGCCAGTGCCACTTGATGATGATTTCAATGTGTATGTGTTTTTGTTGTTCTTGTTTTTCAATCTAACATCTAGCTATTTCTTAAAAGTTCCTACCAAATCCTTCTCTGTGCCAGTCTTTATTGTTGTCCCTGGAACCCCACTAAGTTTTGCTCTCTGACTTTGCCATGCCCAGTGGCATATTGTGAGCCTTAAACTACATTAGGAAGTTGTTTTTTGTTTCTTTTGGTCTGGATTATTCAGGACTTTTAGAATTCATGAAGAAGCTCCCTTGAGAATTTATGTTAGTAGACTGGTGGCAATGAATATCAACTGTCTTTCTTAGGTATTTACTGAAAAAGAGCAGTGGCAGGACTGGAGAGGTTAAGAACACTGGTTGTTCTTGTAGAAAACCCGGCTTCGAATCCCAGCACCCACATGGCACCTAACAACTGTCCATAACTCCAGACCCAAGGGATCCGACAGCCTCTTCTGACCTCCGAGGGCATTGCACAACATGGGTCCACTTACCTACTTGCAGGCAATACATGCATACACATAAAATAAAAATAATAAATAAAATTTGAAAAAAGACAAAAGAGCAGTGGCTAATGAGAGCATTCCTGGGAGCCTTAGTAGGAAAGCCTTTTCTTCTCAGATGAAGATGGGCTTAGGATGAAGGGCTTTTGCTTCTTCCTCCTAGGGGATACAGATAAATAACCATTTATGATCTTTGACAGGAGGTTCTGATCCTATTTTAAGCATGGAAGAGTGAGTGTTTTCCATGGTCTAGAGAGACTAGTCATTCTCTCTCTAGCTTCAGCTTTCTGGGGACTCCCCAGAGAGAACTCGGTATGCTGGATTGTCTTTATTTTTTTTTCCTTGTCAGAAAGCAACCTATAGTTTGTTGGAGGGAAAGGGGAATCCTTGATTTTCAATGCCTGTGCTGCTTTATTAACTATCTTCTGACTCATCAGTCATGACAGGTTTTTGTAGGTCTCCTGCTGACTTTTCCAGGAGTAGAAATCAATGATCTTCAGAAACTCAATATTATTAGATGAGTGAACTTCCTAGCCCTGAGAGCGTGTAGCTGTCAAAACCCACAAATATGAACATTGATTTTTCTAGGATTAGATGTTGGAATGTTCTAAATAAATGTTTTAAGATAGCGAATTTCTTAAGACTTTGGGTATTTTGAAATCCATAGACATACTTTGATGTGACTGTAGTAGAGAAATGGGGATGATTCATATCTAGGCCCACCTCTTTATTTCCTGGTTTTTTTTTTTTTCTTTTGTTTTCCTCAAAGGGTGGTTAGCAGAAAGCAGTCAGCAAGTGGGTTATGTATGTCTACCACAACCAGTGTAAATTTGTTGTTCAAAAGTTTTAATGGAGGTAGCCACCATCTTTCCCTCAGGTTCTCTTCTGCTAACTTTGGAATGAAGTATAATTGTAGGTTCTTTTCAAAGTATGAACCAAGGAAGACTCATGTTTGTTTGTTTGTTTGTTTTTTCTTTTTGGTTCTGAGGATTGAACCTAGAGCTTTATAGATGCTAAGCAAGCACTCTGTCACTGAGCTGCAACCTCAGCCCTTCAAGGGAGATTTGTTTCATTTAAATCAACTGTACTGAAAAACTTTAAACAGTACCTGGTTAAAAGTTTCTATTTCTTGACTTTTATGTTTGAGTTTAATAATAATCGCTTTTGGTTTTTGCCTTACTTGCTGAAATGGAAATGTATGTTTAAAGCCTGATTAGTAGTAATTTCTTTGAACAAGTTTTTAGCAGAATACCTAATGGGTCTTAGGGAAATAGTTATCTTTGGCTTTGTGTTATATGTATGGTTTGTTCTGCCTGTGCTGTGTGTTCACTTTAGTATTTTTTGCCATTTTTTCCATTTTATTAGCATCATGCCTTATCACTTTTCCCCTCATTGATTTCAAAACAATGCATCTGCAGAGAGATGGGGAGGGTAAGTATGGTTCACCGTAGTTTAGTTTTTCACCCTTTCATGGTTTGCTTTGTCTGTTGTTTCATTGACCCTTCTCCTCCTGTCCCCAAATCTTGGGAAAACTGCTTTGGGGTAAAAACTCAGAAAAACAATGTTTTTGTTATTTTCTTCTTTTCTTAAAACATACAATTTCTCATAAAATGTTCATTACTAGTTGTTTTTGTTGGGGCACAGGTACAAGGGTTGCTTTGAAATCACTGCATTGCTGAGTTTATTGTAGGAGTACATGCTCTGTAGCTACATTTTAGTTACCAGATTTATCTGAGCCTCAAAAACAAGCTGAGTTATTTTCTAAAAACCCTTTAAAAAGATAATGCTTGAAACAGCTAATGCAGAGTTAAACTATATTAATGAAAAAGCTGTCTTGACTGTTGTCTAAAGAAAAAGACAACTTTAAGCCAGGTATGGCTTAATCCCAGCACTTAGGAGGCAGAGGCAGGCATATCTCTTGAGTTTGAGCCCAGCCTGGTCTACATAGTGAGTTCCAAGTGAGTTGGGGCTATAGGGAGACCCTGTCTCAAAAAGGCCAAAAATAAAAAAGGCCACTTAAAAATTTTGTCTGTGTGCAGAGGTATTAGTTATATTAGCATGGTTTCATTGGTGAGTATGACAGGATTGCTACAATAAGATAAAGGTATTTAAGGAGAGCTACTACTGTTAAGTTTTTCCTTGTGAGCATTAAATTATTAAACAGGAGTCTTATAACAGAAAATAATCGTCATAATTTAATGTTAGAATTAACATTATTTCACAGTTTAATGCTAGGTCTTGACAGGGTGAGTTAAGTCCTCTTTCAAAATCAGACATGCTACCATTCTGCCACAAGGCTGCTAGCTCCTCTTTTGGAAATATTAACAATTCTGTGCAGTCAGTCCCATTTCTTAGTGTTCTGTGTAGCATGGTGAAAACTTAACATTTTAACATAGCCAGCCACTTGATAGTGAGAGAGAATCATATGCCTGTTGAATGTTCACTGTAGAGAATTTTACTTAAAATGCTTTTCTATATAACATCTTTAGAATATTGAATTAGGACTATGTTAAATAACATCTTTAGAATTTTTTATTTTTGGTCTTCTTTTTTTGAGACAGGGTCTCCCTGTAGCCCCTGCTATCCTGGAACTCACTATGTAGACCAGGCTGGCCTTGAACTCAGAGAGATTCGCCTGCCTCTGCCTCCTATGTGCTGGGATTAAAGGCGTGCGCCACCACGCCCATCCTCCATCTTTAGAATTTTAAAGAACTTTGTAGTGTTCTTTCTTGCTTTGCTACTGGGTTCAAGCATTTAAAGTGTAGCTCTTTATGTGAAGATAGAATTCTGGACTGAAGAGTGAAGTTGGATAATTTTAAATGACAAAAGGAGTTAGGAATCTTCTAGTATCTCTTGCTTTGGTCTTTTTCAAAATGTTTATGAACCACTACATGATGATAAGAGTTAAGGAGTATATAGCTGATATTTTATGACTTTTCCATGTTGACTCAAGGTACCCATGGTACTATCCTTTGTGTTTATTTTATAGAACCGTTTCCTGCTTTTAAGTCTTGGCAGGAGGACTCTGAGTCTGGAGAAGCTCAGCTTTCTCCACAAGCTGGAAGAATGAATCATCATCCCCTGGAAGAGGACTGCCCTCCAGTATTATCACATCGCAGTTTAGATTTTGGGCAAAGCCAGCGCTTCCTACATGATCCAGAAGCATTGGATTTCTCGTCAAAGGCCCTTTCCTTTACTAGGTATTTGATTATGTATTTATAAGAAGCAGTTCTCATTTTGTACCAAGATCCTTTGAAAGATTTACTCTTCCAGGCCTGCAGTTGAAAGCTGCCTTTCTTAGTTCCTAAAGCATGTTTTTGTAATTTTTTACTATTAAATTCTGAATTTATTGAGTTATATGTAGTACTTGGGGTTTAATCTTAATAAGACATTTCCTCATGATGTATTCCTCATTCATTTATTCATTGAGGATTGAAACATGGAGCTCTAAAAGCTGAGAAGTAAGTGCAGCTGATTCCAAATGTTTTATTTATACTCAGTTGCCTCAGTTGGGGTAGAGTGGAGACTATAATCCTGGCATTCTCCAACAGCATCGCAGAATAGGCAGACTTTCCAGAAGGAACTAACCTGCCATTGTGCAGACCATGATGCTATCCAGTGAGATGGCTCTGTAGATAAAGGTGCTTGCTGACCTCCACACGCCATGATATCCATGCATCCATACATATGATACATCAACAACCCCCTGCCCACAAATGAAGCATCCAAGGTAGCCAAGGCGCAGAAGTTTGTGAAGAAGGATATGTAGTCTCTGCTGTGATGGTGAATCTCATACCTTCATTCATTAGGCATGGTTCAGCAATTAATTGCCAAGACAATGGTTGGTTTTCCCAGTTCAAGCTGTAATGCTTTTTCAACTTCTGGAATTGAAATAGTTTCAAGAAACCAAAGTTGCTAAGAACTTCAACTCAAACAGCACCTCATGAAGTAATAGAGGAGAAAGCAGCATATTTAAGTGCACCTTCTTACCTTGCCAGGGGAGAGTATAGCCTGTCAGTCATGTTTTAACGGAAGCTAATTTTGCTCTTGAAATGGAGGCTCTGGTTCCCAGTATTTCTATTCAGATAACTTTAAAAATTATTAGTATTGTGTGCGTGTGTGTGAGCGAGACAGAGAGTGTGTTTGAAGGGACCTATTCTGTGCCATGGTATGCATTGGAGGTGAAAAGACAACTTTATATAGTCTTTTCTTTCCACCTTTTTGTGGGTTCTGGGAATTGAACTCAGGTCATCAGGCTTGCATGGCAAGTACTACCTCTATCTAACTGGTGAGTCATCTTGCTCTCCCAGGTAACTTTTTTGATTATCAGAGAAGGTAGACAGTTGATTGTGCACATGAAGATACAGATACTACAAATACAACTATTCTTCCAAAAAGCACCACATAACAAGGGAGGCATCCTTCAGGTATTGAAAGAGGTGCTGCTGCATTTTTAGGGAATTAAGCAGCCATAGGTTTTACTCCTTCCTGCTGGTCTGTAGACGAGACAGTGAGTGGAAAAAATACTACATAGATCACAGCCGGGCGTGGTGGCGCATGCCTTTGATCCCAACACTTGGGAGGCAGAGGCAGGCGGATCTCTGTGAGTTCAAGGCCAGCCTGGTCTACATAGTGAGTTCCAGGACAGCAGGGGCTACAGGGAGACCCTGTCTCAAAAAGACAAAAAAAAAAAAACACAAAAATCAAAAAAAAAAAACAAAAAAAAAAACACAAAAATCAAAAAAAAAAAACAAAAAAAAAAACACAAAAATCAAAAAAAAAAAACAAAAAAAAAAACACAAAAATCAAAAAAAAAAAACAAAAAAAAAAACACAAAAATCAAAAAAAAAAAACAAAAAAAAAAACACAAAAATCAAAAAAAAAAAACAAAAAAAAAAACACAAAAATCAAAAAAAAAAAACAAAAAAAAAAACACAAAAATCAAAAAAAAAAAACAACAAAAAAAAAACTACATAGATCATAACACAAAATCAACTCATTCTCCTTTGAAGGAGAAGAACTTCCTCCAAATGGGGACAAATTGAGTCATCAGATTTTGGAACAACCAACTGGGGCTGGAGAGATAACTCAGCAATTAAGAACACTCACTGGCTGCTCTTGCAGAGGACCTGGGTTTAGTTTCCAGCATAAACATGGTGGCTAACAACGGTTGAGAACTCCAGTTCCAGGGGATCTGATGCCCTCTTCTGGCCTGTGGGCATTGCACATCATGAGTACATTTACATTCAAGCAAAGCACTCATATACATGAAATATAGATAAATAATTTGAAAATAAGGCTCAGCTGGGTATGGTGGCACATGCCTTTAATACCGGTAAGGCAGGTGGATCTCTTGAGTTTGAGACCAGCTTGGTCTGTGTCTAGATCTCTATGAATTGAGGCCAGCCTGGACTACATAGTGAGTTCTAGGCCAGCCACGGCTACATAGTGAGACCCTGTCTCAAAGAAACAAAAATAATAAAAAGTAAAAGGCTCAATATAGGCCTCCCTGTGCTCCTAGATAATGACCACATTCCAAGGTGGGAACTCTCTCAGCTAGATGACCAGGATACCTACTAGGGAATGCTAAAGCTGTTCTTCATGAAAGAACTGGAACAGAGTGTGAAATGTGTGAGGCTTACATACTGGCTTTTCTCATTCAGTTGGAAAACTGTAGAGAACAATGATAGGCCCAGCAATGGTAAAGAGTGTTTAGGTTAACATTATAAACATCAAATTCAAGCTTTAGAAGAGCTTTAAAATATTTTCACAGGGAGCCGGGCATGGTGGCGCATGCCTTTAATCCCAGCAGGTGGATCTCTGTGAGTTCAAGGCCAGCCTGGTCTACATAGTGAGTTCCAGGACAGCTGGGGCTACAAGGAGACCCTGTCTCAAAAA